GCTAAGATGCCATTTGAGCACATATCAAATATCGATGAGGTCCTGACCCGGGCTATAAACCCCTGTACAGCCCGAGGCGATGCCTTTGTGGGGAGCTCAGAGGCAGCTCAGGTTCCCGCTGCAAAAATCAAATGAACGTCAAAAGAATCCTAAAAAAAAAAAAAAAAACGCGTGCAGGAGCGCCTCTCCCCCGAGACCATCCCCGCGCCTCCCTTTGTGCGGGCTGAAAAAAGGAACTTTTAAGCATTCCCATCTTCTCCTCAAAGCTCAGCCTAATTGAGTGCGAACAAAAGAGAAAACGCTTTCTCCTCTGCAGGCAGGCGGCGGCTGGAGCGGAATGACAATGCCAGCGTGAGAGACAGCCAGCCCCGGGGTGCCAGGCAGCTCTGCCACCCACCGGCACCGGCACGAGGGGTCCGTGTGCCCCCAGCCAGCTCTGGCATGTCCTGGTGGCTCCTGGAGAGCCACTGCCACCTCAGCACGTGGTGTCTGTGTGTCCAGTGCCAGCTCTGACAGTCCTGCCCATGTCCTGGTGGCTCCTGGAGAGTCACTGCCATCCTAACATGAGTTGCCCGTGTGTCCAGGGCCACCTCTGGCATGTCCTGGTGGCTCCTGGAGAAACACTGCCACCTTAACATGAGGTGCCCGTGTGTCCTCAGCCAGCTCTGGCATGTTCTGGTGGCTCCTGGAGAGTCACTGCCACCTTAAAATGAGGTGCCCGTGTGTACCCAGCCAGCTCTGGCAGCTGTGCCCACGTCCTGGTGGCTCCTGGAGAACCACTGCCACCTCAGCACAAGGTTTCCATGCATCCAGAGCCAGCTCTGACAGTCCTGCCCATGTTCTGGTGGTGCTGGAGAGCCACTGCCACCTTAACATGAGATGTTCATGTGTCCAGTGCCAGCTCTGGCAGTCCTGCCCATGTCCTGGAGAGTCACTGCCATCCTAACATGAGTTGCCTGTGTGTCCAGGGCCAGCTCTGGCATGTCCTGGTGGCTCCTGGAGAGTCACTGCCCCCCTAACGTGAGGTGTCCGTGTGTTCCCAGCATCCCAGGGACCCCTGGCCATCTCCCACCCCTTTGAATCAGGGCTCCGTGTGTCCAGCCAGGACTAAGGAATGGATTCATCCCCGGTGTTTCTGCAGTGCTGAGGTCCTCAAAATGGAATTAAATGCCCCAACACCCTGGCACAGGTGCCCAGAGCTGCTGTGGTTCCCCCTGCATCCCTGGCAGTGCCCAGTGAACGGGGCTGGGAGCACCAGGGACAGTGGAGGTGTCCCTGCCATGGCAGGGGTGGCACTGGCTGAATTTTAAGATCATTTCCAACCCAACTCCTTCTCTGCCATTATTGCTGGTGCTCAGCCCACAGACAAGCCCATTCCCAGGAGCAATAAAGGCGAGCAGGCATCATAAAACTCCAGTAATCAAATGTGAAAAGAACAGCCCAATTCATTAATAGCCAGACAGGCTGATAGAGACATTCTTAATTATCAAATATTACCATGGAGTTCATTTTTACCTGAGTTGTTTCAGTGAACAGGGCTGGGAGCACCAGGGACAGTGGGAGGTGTCCCTGCCATGGCAGGGGTGGCACTGGCTGAATTTTAAGATCATTTCCAACCCAACTCATTCTCTGCCATTATTGCTGGTGCTCAGCCCACAGACAAGCCCATTCCCAGGAGCAATAAAGGCGAGCAGGCATCATAAAACTCCAGTAATCAAATGTGAAAAGAACAGCCCAATTCATTAATAGCCAGACAGGCTGATAGAGACATTCTTAATTATCAAATATTACCATGGAGTTCATTTTTACCTGAGTTGTTTAAGCCTGACCATCCTCCTTCCCTTTTCCTACACACGTTGCCCTGGGGCAGCATTGAACATTTGTAATTAGATTCCTTTGTAGAGAGAAGTGTAGAGAGTATTGTTCAGGCATGGCTTGCTGAGAAAGGGCATAGTCAAACTAAGTTGGAAGAGATATAGGCGAGAGGCAGCCTGAAGGACAGGGTGCCCTTGAGAGTGAGGAACATGCTAAGGAATGTGCTAAGGAATGTGATAAATAGAAGGTTAAAGATAGACTGAAAGTCTGCTAGAAACCGCAAAAATGTAGAAGCATACAGCTGTGTAATACCAATGATGCTAAAACGATGTAACCAATAGTGAGCTATGATTTTGCACTATGCATGAGCTAATTAAGAACTGTATTTAAGCTAGAGCAAAAGGTACAATAAACGAGATCTGCTGATGACCACCGGGTGTCCAGTCTCCCTTCTCCGACATTCCTTCACTGGAGTTAATTATGAGGTGACAATAAAGCCTGAGTGGTTCCTATTTTCCTAAGTATAATTTGGGAGTAAAAACAACCCCTTTGTTTTGGCATCAATATTTGTAATTTTAAGTTTAACATGAACCTCGGGGTGTACTCTTGATCCAAATAGATACAGACGTGTTCATGTTGGATTATGCTGTACATCTATTTTATATTGTGTTTTTATACTTTCACATTATTTTGTATCCACTTGCCTGCACAGACCTGTCAATATTCTGGAGCACAGACAAGATTTCTCTTCAGGATGATCTCTAAATTAATTAATGAATTTTCATCACGTTGATGTCAGCCTGGGACAACATCAATATTTTGCAGGTTCCAGGTTGTGCTGGCACCCAGGGTAATGTTTTATGTTTTATTATTATTACTTTTAAATCTTAATTAAATTATATTTTTTATAGCCCCAGCAGGTGAGGGGTCCCAAATGTCCCTTGCAAAGAACCTGGAGTTGAGAGGGGGGGATTTAATGTGGGTTTTAGTGATCTGCTCCATTTTAAGCACTGAAGTGTCCAATAACACAGAATTAAATTTCCATTACAAATGAGTTGGCCACTTAAATCTAACCAGACCCTGCATAAATAAAGAGCAGGGGATTTTTGTGGCCCTTATTGCCAGCCTGAGCTCACTGTCTGATTCCATCCAATTCCACGTCACCCTCCAGCTAGGCACTCACAGAAGGGAAAAGATGCTGAAATTTAAACAGGTCAAAATTAATGCCACGGCTGTATTTGATAATTGGAAGTGTCACCTCCATTAGCTCGCCCTGATAACCAGGCTGGAAAAGCCAGCACCAGGATGTCCAAAATCTGCTGCACAATCTGCAGAGTGACAGTGACGGAACAACGGCAGCACCCCCACGCTCAGGAGGGGGGATCAGAGCTGCCCACGGGGATGCAGGGCTGGCAGGGAAACTCCAGGATATCCTGCTGCTCTTTCAGTGCCGGGACCCCCAAACTTCCCACGTGGAAGATCCAAACCTGCTGCCCTGACTCTTCCCACGCTGTGTCCGTGGCTCCTCACTCCCCTGCCCTGGATGTGGGTGTGACAGAGGGATCCAAGCCATCTGCATTTTATATAACCTTTATTAAGCATCACTTGACCTTGTCAGTGCCAATAAAGGCCTGTGAAGTGCACGCCAGATAAAATGTAATTTTTAATTGAGTATCCTTATTACATCTATTAACAAGGTGCAGATGAATACAAATGACCCCACGGTCGATGCTGTCGATTCCTGTTGGAATTTCTTTCTCCTTTGCTGAGCTGAAGGAGTCAATAACCTCCCAAAGGGTCACAGGGAGTGGAGATTTTCCTGGCAGCTGCTGCCCTGCCTCCAGGGTCTGTCCTACAGTGCAGTGGCCATGGATAAGCCATGATCAGCATCTCTGAAGGTAAAACACAATTCCAGCTCCCCCAGCCCTTAGGAAAACTTGGGAAACTCAGTTCCTATTTAATTCTTTATATTTAGACTTACCCAAGGCACAGGTGAAAAACAGGAGTCTCCTCTTTTATTCCCTAATTCACAAATCATGTGAAAACTCCTCTCCACGCTGGGTGGCCACAGCACTGGAATGGTTCCAGGACTTCCAGCCCATGGGATCTGTCTGGGGAGGTCAAACCTGCTGGTTTCAAGGGGGAGACAGCAGGATGTGGCCAAACTGCCCCCCCTGAGGTCAGTGTCAAGCTTTGGTCTCAGTTTGAGGGAAATAAGCTGCAATGACCTGCCTGAGGAGCAGCGTGCTGCTCTGACAGGATGGATTTGCATTCCCTTCAAACGGGAGCAGCTTCCCATCTCCCCATTAGCCCTGCACTAAAACCAGAGGATTCAGAGTCAAATATCCATAAAAGCTCATCCCAGGGCAGCACTGAACTCCCTGCTGTGACCACAGTGTGCCAGGCCTTCCTCTTCTGGCTTAGATTTATCCTTTTTAGTACCTAATTTGGAAAGGGAAAAAAAAAAAACCAAAACCACCCCTTGAGATCCTCCAGAAAAAGCAGCGAGACCTCTTGTTCCGTATCCACGTTTCTTCTTTAATGCTTCCTTAAGGGTCTCCATTTTTCTGTCACTTATCATCATCCAGAGTAATTTTGGGCTGTTAGAGAAAGTTCATTGCTGTAATTGCGACCATATTGGTCATTAAAGTTGACAGACAGCTGCTGGAGAAGTCACTGGCTGGTTCTGCTGCTCAGCAGATGCCTCTCAGCGCTCGCCGAGACGTTGGCTTGAATTTATGAGATGGAAGCAGAAGTGTTTCACCTCAAGGACTGAGCCTTTCAGCGAGGGGAAAACACAAAGAACTCACCCAGCTCTTCTGTTTGCAAACAGGGTTTGCTGCTCCTGCTCCAGCTGGAAATAAGAGGAATTTCATGCAGTCCCTAAGGCTGCTCCTGCCTGCAGGTGTTGGGGACCCCATCCCAGCTGCTCCCCAGCTCCACCATTCAGGGGTTATTCCAGATTTCCCATCCCTGGGAGTGCCCCAGGCCAGGCTGGACAGGGTTGGAGGTGTCCCTGCCCATGGCAGGGGGTGGCACTGGATGGGCTTTAAGGTTCCTTCAAAGCCAAACCACTCTGGGATTTCCACTCACCCATTTCGTGCTGCTGGGATTCAGTAAATAAATATTCCTCACACAATAAATGCCACACAGCACATACTGGAAAATAAGGAGCCACTCAGGAGGGTTTTTTTAACCAGTAAACTTTATTTATATATAACAACAGTACAAAGTGAGTCCTTGGCTTGCAAAATAGGAGTGTTTCATATTTACAATAGGTACACAATAATATATTAGAATAATAACAAAACCCCCTTTTATTTCCTTGGAACATTTTTAAATACTTAAACTTTCTTACATTTTTTTTTCCACAACACTTGTAAAAACAACAAAAAACAGACAATCATCTTAAAAAAAAATATAATACAGAACTCCAGTGTGTCAAGTATAACGGGGAGGGGAGGAGCCAGAGAACGATGCGGTGGAATGGGCACAGATACAAATAAATTCCTTGTTCCTGCCAACACACAAATCCCCTAAAACTGCTGGGGGTTGGTCTGTGAGGAGGAGAAGGGGAAGAAGAAATCAGAATCTGTTCCATGGCTGATACCTCTACATTCTGTTTTTGGGGGGACTCCAGAAGTTTTAGTACCTGTACCTTCCCTTCCCCTTGCTGCTTCTCCTAGCGGCCCCCAAGGTGCCATCAACACCAAAACTCAGCAGTAAGACAAGGACTTTCTACTGCGTCTTCTGAAGCCATGAAATAACGTGGCAAAATCAGCTTTTTGCCCTCCCCACGGCTCCTCTGCACCTTTGTGTGCCCAGTCCTCGGGACGGGAACGCCGGCTGGAGAAGCTGTTGCATAAACTTCCAAGCTTATCCGAAAGAGAGGTATTAAAAATCCCAAAGGAAAGGCCATACAGGAGATCTGGTGTTTGATTTGGCAGCCTTGGGAGGCCCGGGGAGTTTGGGATATTTGGGATGTTGTCCGTGCAACTGGAAGGACCCGGCGGGCCTTTGGGGCGTGTTCCTCAACGCTGCAGAAAGGGCGATTTTCTCAGGATTATATTCCACGGTCACAAAGGAAGGAGAGGGATGGGAAACACAGGACAAAGGGGGATCTGAAAGAACAAGCACAGAGACACTGCCATGCTCACAGCACGGCCACGACACCGCTGGTGCCACCTCAGCCAGGCGGGCACAGACACCCTGGAGAGATGGAGTGGCTTTTCCAGCATGGAGCAGGGGGGCTCTGCCAGCCCACACTGCCCCACCCTTCCACCTGCCCTTCTCTGACCCCAGCACCCCAAAGAGCACCCTGGGGTGCAGGGCTCACACCACAGACCCCCAGTTTTCTTCCAGGAGCCAGGAAGGCACCAGGCACCACCCGCAGCTGGGGCTCCGGCAGCTGTTCCTTTCCCTGCCCAGAACAGGACCAGCACCCAAATCTGGAGATTTTCAGGGTGAAGGGGCTTTAACAAAGACTTCCAAACAGCCAAAACTGGTCAAAACCTCCCACCCTCTTCCCCTGAAAAACCAACCTGACCAAGCTGCACTGAAACTGCACCTTTGGGGCTGCTCAGCCCAGCGGATCCCCAGCGGCGCCCTCGCAGTGCACACACCTCTCACTCTGATTGTTTCCCCACTGAATGTCTCATCAGTAAAACCAAACCATCCTGCCCATGCAGGTGGCCTCAGAGCTGGCCCCAGTGCTTTGCCCTCAGCCTCTGACCCGCTGGTCTCTGCTTTTGGGTCCAGGCTGGGTGTTTGCACCGAGGACAGGACTGTGCTCCGAGCTCTTCCTCCACACAACTGTACAATGTCACAGCTCCCTGCACTATTGCCCTGGTGCAAACGTGGATCTGGAATAGGATGGTTGAAGCTCTGTGGCATTTTAATACATCTTTGATGTCAGTTATTTACCCTCCTCAGAACATTTTTTCTTCTCTCCGGGGCACAGTCACACGTGAGCTCTCCCTGATGGCCCAGCTTATTCAAGTCAGTCTCTTTTAGTTTCATTTAGTTTGGGGAGCTGAGTCCCTGTGACAGGTGAGCTCTGACAGCACAGGAAACTGGATGGAGAACAGCCAGTGACAGCAGAACGTGGCTGGGCTGCTGCCAGGGAAGGAGCTCGAGGCTCTGGAGCAGCACAGGGGCTGTGCTGGGAGCTGCTCTGCCCTGTGCCAACCCGGCCTTCCTCATCCCTGCTGGCTCCTGGGGACTTCTGGGAACGAGACCTTGCTTGGAGGCTGTGCCCACTGCAGGAGGGGATGCTCTGACCCTTTTCCCACACAGACTTGAACACCAAAACCACCCCCAGGAGCTCGGAGCCAGCAGCGTGCAGAATGCAACCCCAGAGCCTTAAACCCTCTCGCCTTTGCCCTCCACGTGCCCACCCAAACTGCTTCCTACATTGGGACGTTTTTTGTGGAGTCCAGTGGAAGGTAGGAGGGAACACTGACGTGGGGATGGACCACCAGGATTTTAAGACAGAGTGTGGAAGGCACTGCTGTGATGAAGGTCTCTGTTGGCACTGCGCTCACCGTCCCCAGCGTGTCACAGCCCCAGCCCTGGGGAGGCACCGCTGTCCCCACGGCCACCCTTCAGGGAAAATCTTGAAATTCCACACCTGGAATGCTGCTGGGATGCAGCCAGGCCGTGGCAGCAGTTTTGTTTCTCAGCTCTGGTCCCCACAGTGGGTCCTCGCTGCTGCAGACAGGATACCCAGGGTTTCCAGGGATATCCGTGCTGGATTCCACAGGGTTTCCAGGGATACCCATCCTGGATTCCACAGGGTTTCCAGCGCTTTGGCCGTGCTGATCCCTCCTGCCTCCCTTTAAATCCATCCTTTATGGCAAAGCGTGGACCACTGGCTGTCCACACCCTCTGAGCTTTGGTGGCTGCGGCTCCTCAGCGGGGCCAGCCTTGCCTGCCAGCTCCCCTCTCCTGTGTGGGGCTTTAATAAAGGCTTTCAAGGTGGAGAAGCGTTTGATTAGCACCTCGCTCCCCCTCGGAGTGGGTGCTTTGATAGCTCATGAGCAGAAGATTAAACGGAATTATTCAAGCGGTGACACCAGGCAGAGAGATCCCGGCAAGTGACGTCTCCCACTTTGATGTCGGAATACCTGAAACGGAGCGAACTGCAGACTCCAAACTCCACGTGGCCTTGCAGGAGGAAGGGGGCAATGAGAGGGACGTGAAATCGTTTCATCTAAGGCAAGTGCCCCCTCCTGACCAACCCTCGAGTCCAGTTTGCTGCGAGTGCGAAGAAAATGCCATTTTGAGATCTGAAGCTTCCTCCTCCCGAAGGAGGAATGGAAATGTTGGATGCAAACAGGGCAAGAGATTCCCAGCGCTCTGCCCCGGGGGGATATGTTGCTTCAATCCATATAATTGCCTGTAAAGATCCATAATTAATGTCAACCACCACGAGAAGATACTTGGCAACGTATTTCTAGGCCACCCCTCCAGCCAGGACTGTGCTGTTCCCTCTGCCATCCTCCCAAAGCTTTTCCAGGTGATGGACGAGGTGTTTTTGCTGTTTCCTTCAGGATTCAGTCAGAAGTGTAAAAGAGCTTATTGGTTTGCAAAGTGCTCCTGCTGCTTTCCCTTTTTTTTTTTTCCTCGCTGCTCAGATGGTCCCACAGCACAGAAGATGAACTCAGTTGTCCCCTTGTCTCCTTAAAGTTCTCCCAGAGAATCCAGGGAGCGTGTGGGGACCTCCACTTCTGCTGAGAAAATACAGGGGAGGGGGGATGACAAAGCCTTGGCTCGGGGGGTGCTCCTGGTCAGAGGGGAGAGAGCAGGAGGAGGAAAGCAGGATGAAAAGCTACACAAGAGCCTCTCAAAGAGATGCAGAGAGGAGCACCACGAGGGCTGTGGGGCAGGGACACCGCCAGGTGTGAGGCACAGCCAGGCCTTTGCTTTGGGCTGTACTCGTGTTTTGAGAGTCCTGCAGAGATAACTCCCCAGACTGGTATTTGGAAGCGTTTGGAAGTCGTTCAGGAACTTTTTGGAGTGCTCTTTTTGGGTTTCAGAGTACCATGAGAACTTGGTGGAACCCAAACCAACAAGCACAGCTAGAACAGACCGGGCAATCCCTCACCTAAGCTGTGTGGTGGATCAGGGTGGACAGCAGGAACAGAACCAGCAAAAAACCTGCAGGATTTCAAAGCCTGACCCTCTGCCATGCCCTGGGGTACCTGCAGCAAAGAGCAGGCCAGGCTGGGGACTGCTCCAGTGACGTTCCTGGCGCTGGGCTCCGCAGTGCCTGACTTTTAGCAGGACTTTTGCACATTTTTTGCCTCAGAAATGAGATTCACCGTGCAGGAGCAGGATCCCTGGGAAGGGAACTCTCGGATAACAGGCAGTGCAAACACAGCTCTGCCTTTCAGTCTCTGTTTCTGCCACTCTCCCCCTGTCTCAGTAAATCCAGTGCTCAGGCTGCTGTAAATGTCAAGAACTTATTGCACAAGGTTGATTATTATCATCAGCATTTTCTGCTTTTCAGAGAGACTCACAGAAGTGGATTACCAAAAAAAAAGTGGACTTGGCATGGCTTTTACTGAATGGTAATTAAACCAAGTTTCCTGAGTATTTCTCTACGTGCTTCTCCCCTCCCCTGGTGCTGGACTGCAGGACATGGAAAGCCAGCAGCTCCCTGGGAGCCCTGCTGGGCTCCTCCAGGCAGGAATGGTGGAGGAGGGGGATGGAGATGGAAATGGATTTTTCTTCAACACACTCTGGCTGCAAACGAAGGTCCCAGTCTGGTGTGACACTGCCTGGGCAGACACCAGGAATTATTTTGCTGCCATTGCCAAGCTCCAGCAGCCAACTCTTGTATTTCCATTAGGCCTCCTCTCCCTGCCCTCCCCACTGCAGCCTGCACACGTATCAATATTTACTACAGAGAGAAATATTTACAGCATTCCTTCCCCTCCTGGCACTCTACAAAGGGACACACATAAGCTTTGGTGTCTTTGAAAGAAATAACACTCACAAACATTTGCCTGTCACTGGCCACAGGAACGTGTGCCGTGGGGGCCAGCAAGGAACTGAGGAGAACAACGAGACGCCGACACAGAGACACGACAGCAGAGCTGGCTGGCCCAGGGGTGCTGGTTAAGGTTTGCTCTTGCCTGGAGCAGAGATTTCTCTCCCTTTCCCAGTGGAAATGCAAGTCCTGGCCCTGGGTGAGGCGGCAAACGCTGGCGGAGACACCCAAAGGGAGCCTGTGCCCAAGGACTGCACGTCCAGCAGAAAAGCAACAAAATCTGCTCTCCCAACATCCAGGCTCTTCAAGTACTGTCACCGTAAACATTGAGGTTTGGGGGGTTTTGCTGTGAGAAATCGGAGGCGGCTGCTGGAGACCCCCAAACCCAGCCCTGGAGGTGTCAGCCCAGCTCTGCCTTGGCTCACGTGGCACCTGCAGGAACCAGCAGTGGACACTGAATGGATCAGTGCTGGACACTGCTGGATCACTGTGGTCACGCTGGACACTGCTGGATCACCATGGTCAGGCTGGACACTGCTGGATCACCATGGCCATACTGGACATTGTTGGATCACCATGGCCATACTGGACATTTTTGGATCACCATGGCCAGGCTGGACACTGCTGGATCACCATATCCATACTGGACACTGCTGGATCACCATGGCCATACTGGACATTGTTGGATCACCATAGCCATGCTGGGCTCTGCTGGACACTGCTGGATCACCATGGCCATGCTGGACACTGCTGGATCACCATGGCCATACTGGACATTGTTGGATCACCATGGCCATACTGGACACTGCTGGATCACCACAGCCATGCTGGACACTCCTGGATGACTACGGCCATGCTGGACACTGCTGGATCACCATATCCATACTGGACACTGCTGGCTCAGCCAGTGAGGTGGGATGGAGGTGGAAAAGGGAAAAGCAATGAAATTCAGGTCTTCCCTCATTCGACAGTAAATGGGATTTTAAAAAAAATATATATATTGACACTGTATAAATACATGGATAAAGCTGGGTTTCAAGACAGGTCGGATGATCTGATGGTTTTGCAATTCAGGTGAAGTTCCTTCTAGTGCCTCTAAGTTACTCAGCCACTGGACTATTTTCAGGCAAAACGCTATCTTGCTTGTGTAAAAAGGTGTGGTGCAAACTTGTGCTCGTATTTGTTGTAAGAATCCAAAACGAAGACATTTTGGTTTTCCAGATGTTCCAATGGGAGTGACAGTCCATTTGCAGAATGCCTGAGCCGTGTCCTTGGAAGGCTCTCAGGGACAGGATTCACAGCTGATCCTTCTTGCCAGGATTATCTCTATGGCCTCTGTGGTTTTTGCTCTATTTATTTTTTTTTTCTTTTTCTTTTTTTTTTTTTTTTTTTTTTACAAAAAACCCCCTTTAAATAAAGTTTTATTTTCCAATATACATTAAACAATTTTCATGCAAAGCAGCAGTCGTGGAGACATCCAGACTTTCCAGGTTCCTTCTTTCCGCGTACACTTGAAAAAAATGATCCACCTTGCTTGGACTTGGATTGAGATGTTTCATCTTCTTCCCTTCCTGCCCTTTCAAACTGGATCCTGTATGATTTTTGAACACAGCCAGTCCTTGAGCCAGGCTCTGCTCTCTCCAGAAGAGCCTTGGGGGTGTGTCCAGTGCCTTCCTTGCTTGTTCTCCCTCCAAATTCCCGAGAGTCCGTGCGATCCTCTGCCCTTTGCTGCCCGTGACCTTCCTTCAGCTCTCGAAGGACATGGCCCCAATGAGTTGCTCTACTTTGTAAGCCAAGCGCTGCCTCCGAGCCTGCTCATCCTGCTCCAGAGCGCCAATGAGCTGGGGGAGAGAACAGGAAAAGGGGGAAAAAAATGAATCAGAGAGAGAAATCAGCGTGAGAGAGGGGGTGGGAGAGGTGGGTGGGCAGCGAGATGTGAGCAACTCCAAGTGGAGAGCTGTGAAATCCCAATAAACAGCAAAGAAACTTGGCTGTCGTTGGTTAGTTGGACCCCCTCCATACCCACCCAACAAAACCCACTCTGGTGCCTTGGACTCCACATTTCTTGTCTCGTTTAGCAGGAAAGTGATGAGATTTTTCAACCCTAATGGGAAAATAGCCGTGGCGTTGTATCACAAATGGCTACATGCAGTTCAATGACAAAACCCTTCCGTTTCACGGACATAATTACAAAATCGGTTCTTCTTGCAGCGAAATGAAGGGGTGGAACAGATGGCGAGAACTTGGTTTCAAGTGATGCATTCATTAAAGGAGCTCAGGCTGCCAGGAAGCCTTTGCAAACAGGAGCCTGCGCCACTACAACAGGGATTTGGACCGTGCTGCTCCCAAAGGACACCCAGGTTTCTGGGGAGCTTGGATGGGTCATGAATATTTTCCACAGCACTGGGTGCATGCCAGAGCTGAGGTATCCAGGTGCTCCCACAATATTTTAGCTCTCAGTCCTCCTGGGGAGGATACTACAAGTGTGGCCAATCCCAAACCCCTCTGTGCATGAAGAGAACAGCGGGGCAGGAGCGGCGCCAGCTACGGCCGGGCTGCATCCAGGGAAGGGAGGGCAAGGAGCTCTGGGAGGCAGCAGAGGGGTCCCGACACAACCCAGCACTGCATCTGCTCTCCCACACACCTGCCATGGGGCCCTATCACCCTGGGGACACCATGGCACAGGGGACACTGTTGCCTAGAGGACACCATCACTCCAGGGGACACCATTGCCCAGGGGACACCATTACAGTCAAGAGCACGCCATCACTCCAGGGGACACCATCACTCTGGGGGACACCACCATGGCCCAGAGGACACCATCACTCTAGAGGACCCCATTGCCCAGGGGACACCATTACAGTCAAGAGCACGCCATCTCTCCAGGGGACACCATCACTCTGGGGGACACCACCATGCCCAGAGGACACCATCCCTCTAGAGGACACCATTGCCCAGGGGACACCATTACAGTCAAGAGCACGCCATCTCTCCAGGGGACACCATCACTCTGGGGGACACCACCATGCCCAGAGGACACCATCCCTCTAGAGGACACCATTGCCCAGGGGACCCCATCATGGTCCAGAGCACACCATTGCTCCAGGGTACACCACCATGGCCCAGGAACGCCGTTGCCCAGGGGATGCCATCACTCCAGGGGACACCACGGCCCAGGAGACACTGTTGCCTAGAGGATACCATTGCTCCAGGGGACAACACCATTACCCAGGGGACACCATTACAGTCAAGAGCACGCCATCACTCCAGGGGACACCATCACTCTGGGGGACACCACCATGGCCCAGAGGACACCATCACTCTAGAGGACACCATTGCCCAGGGGACACCATCATGGCCCAGGGAACGCCATTGCCCAGGGGATACCACCACTCCAGGGGATACTATGGCCCAGGAGACACTGCTGCCTAGAGGATATCATTGCTCCAGGGGACAACACCATTACAGTCCAGAGCACACCATCGCTCCAGGGGACACCATCACTCCGGGGGACACCACCATGGCCCAGAGGACACCATCACTCTAGAGGACACCATTGCCCAGGGGACACCATCATGGTCCAGAGCACACCATCGCTCCAGGGTACACCACCACGGCCCAGAAAACGCCGTTGCCCAGGGGATGCCATCACTCCAGGGGACACCACGGCCCAGGAGACACTGTTGCCTAGAGGATACCATTGCTCCAGGGGACAACACCATTACAGTCCAGAGCACACCATCACTCCAGGGGACACCACCACGGCCCAGGGAACGCCGTTGCCCAGGGGATGCCATCACTCCAGGGGACACCGTGGCCCAGGGGACACTGCTGCCCACACCCACCTCCTCGCTGTACTTGCTGACGTAGGAGTAGATCTCGTTGAGCGCGCTCAGCATGTTGAACTCCACGGCGTGCAGGCGCGACTGCTCGGCGAGGTAGGCGTTCATGTCCTGGTCGCTGATGGCCGGGAGCTTGGCGATGTCCGCGTAATACCTGCAGGAACGAGGGGTCAGGGGAAAAATGAGAAACAGGAACGCCCCAAATATCCCTGTTCCCCCTGGGGTTTAAGCTAAGCTCTGCAGGGATAAGAACATCTTTTTGCTTTGCGTTTACATCCAGCAAAACGGGATTGTGGGCTGTAATGAGCTGAAAACAGGAGCAGCGGTGCTTGGCGGGGCTGAGAACCACCCTGCAGCATCACTGCTGGTCCTTGTGCTTCCCTTCCACTCAGGATGGTCTGTCCTGAGATCCGTGGGGTTTCAGAGCACCCTGCACCCACGCTGCCACGTGCTGCCCTCACCTCTCCACCCAGCTCTTGTAGCTGGGGATGTCCTTGGCGTACAGCAGCTTGTTGGAGGGGGAGTCCTTGCCCAGGCGGTGCTCCGAGGTGGAGCAGGAATCCATGAAGGTCTGAGCCACCACGGACAGGCAGGCGTCCGTGATGCTGCCCTTGTGGATGTCGAACACGAACTGCGGGTTTTTGATCACGTTCACCCAGAAGCGGAGGGGAAGGCTGGGAGGCAAAGTGGGAATTGAAATGAAATGAGAAGACAAAGGCGAGGAAAGGGCTCGTGCAGCGGATGGTGCTCCCAGGCAGAACAAAAATGGTGGGAAGAATAAGAGGAGAATTTAAACAGGAGCAGGGCCAAGGCCATCAAGCACCAGTTAGCCCAGTGCTGCCCAGATGGGCTGCTGGTGGATCCTGCCATGCCCAGGAGCTGCTCCAGGCTCAGATCCCACACGGAGCAGTGGAGGAGATGAGGGGCAGGGCAGAGCTGGGCAGTTTGGGGGTACTGGGGGAGCATCTGCAGGAGGAGCCCATCACGAGGAGCTCACCAGAGCAGGGTGCAGTGTGGGGTGAGCAGGGGCAGCCCTGGCACTAATCAGCTCTGCCCGGCCGTGCTCCGGCACCCACGAGCTGGCAGCAGGAACCACAGGCTTTGTCCCCAAATCCCGGGGCCTTTGCAATCAAAGGGGAATTATTATTCCTTTTTTTCTTCGGCTGTATAGCAGGATCAAAAAAGCAGCTGCTGCTTTCTATTACCTTTCAAGTCGCAGCTCTCTCTGTCTCTCCAGCTCGCTGAAGGCTGCAGCCTTAACTCTTGCAGTGCTGCAGGAGAGCAGCTCAGCCCCAGCCCCAGCCACCCCAGCTCCCTAATCCAAACTTCCATTTGCTTCAACCTGCTCCAGGGGCAGCCTTCTCCCACATCCCCATAAAAATTCCCTTTCTGGAAATGCTGCAGCTCAGCTGAGATGGGGAGAAGGAAGGTCCAGGCCTGGTGGGGGCTGTTGGCTCTGGCAGACCAAATTCTGGTGGTCATTGCTTTCTTTTTTTCTCGTAATTTCTTGTGATTCTATAGTTTTTATCCCAATAACTCCTTCTTCTAAGGCTTTAAATGAATTGTTTTGAGCTTCCCACTGCCTTAGCAGGGAAGCAGTTTTTGCAGCCATGATGATTAGAGGCCTTTTAAACCACGAGGGACTCAGGGGAAAATACAAGGTCTTCAGGGAACAACCATTTGTTGTGCTTTTTTATTCCTTTCTTGCAGAGGTAAATTTCCAACCCACAGAGGTTTTAATCCTAAAATAGCAGCAGAGGCAGAGATGTGAGAGCTCCCACTGTTTGGAGAGGCTGGACCTGGCTGCAGCCCATGCCTTAGGCATGCAGAACTGGCTCCTTCTCCCTGTGCCATCTCCTGCTGATGCCCAAATGCTCCAGGTGCTTCCCAAAGGGATGGGAAAGGTGCAGCCACGGGCTGAGCTCCCCCTCCCAGCCAGGGCTGGCATTTGTGGCACAGCAGGGCTGTGCAGGCAGCACGGGGCAGGCACTGGAGCTTTGCTTCCCCCTCTTCCCAAACTCCAGATGTGCAGATCTACAGCCTGAGGGCAGTGCCCATCTCCCACCCCGGGCAGAGAGACAGCCAGGCTATCTCCCTTCCCTTCCAAATCAGGACATTTCAGGATTTTAGCATAATCTGAACACCGGCAGCCCACCAAGGCTCAAACCCCAGCTTTGCGTCCCTCTTTGGCGCTCGGCTGTTCCCACCCTTTCCCAAAACCATCCCCCAGCTCTTTTTTTTTTGCCCAGAATCGCGCGGGTCTGCCTCCCTGCCCCCGTTACCAGTTGCTCTTCCAGGTGTGGCGGACGTCGGTGTCGTGGATGCCGTGCTTGTCCGCCTGCTCGTCCAGGAAGTCGAACATGTACTTGATGGCGAGGGGCAGGGCGCTGCCGCGGTGCACCGTGCTGAACAGCGTCTCAAAAAGGTCGTCCACGAACTTCTGCAGCGTGCCCTGATGGCAGGATGGCAAATCAGACAGCTTCTGGATTTATTGGTTTTTTTTATTTTTTAGCGGGATTTTATTCAGGGGTTTGTTCGCCTCTGCTCAGGGTGGGGGGAATTGAAGTTTCTCTTGAAAAGGTTCTGCTTCACCAAGGGTTTCGGAATTTCTGGCTTAAGTCAACAAAGAGGAGATTCCCAGAGCCAGAAGATACAAAGGGGATAAATGAACATCGACAAACATTGCCCCCAGTGTGATCAGAGACACCTGGTCTGGGAAATGATTGCTAAGAGAACCAAAGCATGAGGACCAAGCTAGCATTGAAAGGATCAATAACCAATAGGAGATCAAGTACTAAGAACTGTGTAATTTAGAAGCAGTGAATGTGAATTTTCTTGGAGGTTTTATGTATAAGTATGTGAAAAATGGGGTAAAACTCCATGTGTGATGGAATGATTTTCACTGCACACCCCAGGCATGTGTGGATGAAATAATTTCTATTGCCCATCCTGGCCAGAATAAAGTAAACCTAATTCTCCAATACTGAAAAGATGTTGTTGGAGAGTTTCTGTTTTTCCTGCAGTTTTGGTGACAGAAGCAGCAATCCAGGGGTGAGGGGAGGGACAGGCACTCCCCTGGGCAAGCAGTGGTGGCATGAAGGGACACCAGATGTTACCAGCCCCAAAAAGTGCCACCACAGATCCCATGGGAATAACCAAGGTTGGGCTCTTTCAAAAAGCTCCAGCCTGCAGTTACTCATTCATTTACTCTTTATTTGTAACCTGAAATAATTTTTTTTGTTTGCTTTCCAGAGCACAGCTGTGTTGTCCACACTGATGAGCATGTGGGGAAAGGCAGGAAAATCATGTCTGGTCAAGGAACTGGATAAATATTTCCAGGCACTGCTTCATTCACCAATTTGTGGATTGGTGAACAGTTTTAACACTGTGCAAAAAAAAGTGGAGAATTGCAGCAATTGCCTTGAGTGTGAGGAAATCTGGGCTGTGCTGTAGCTGCTCCAGGACTCTCCCAATCCCAGGAAAAGCCAGCCAGGCTGGGAGCTGAGCACCACCAGCACCCCTCGCTGAGCCTCACCGCGCGCTCCCCAGGTGAATCCAGCTCAGTTACCTTTGTAGCCAGGAGCCTGGTCAGGTAGATCTCAGAGACCATCTTGCTGCCCCTGTCCCCTTCCTTCTGGTCGCCGTGGTCGTGGTTCTTGACCAGGTGCCAGACCTTGACGCCGCTCTCCAGGTCGGGGGTGATCATGGGCGCGCGCGAGCGGAGGCTGTCGGGGCTGCCCGTGTAGCGGAACGTGGAGTCTGAGCCAGGGAGAGAGGCTGGTCACACCTTCTGCACCTCCCTCAGTGCCCTCACCAGAGCTGATAATGCTCAAATTGTTGGCATTGGGGTTTTTTTTGGTTTTTTTTTTGGGGGGGAAATGAAATAGAAAACCGCCGTGGTTTTGTTTTGCACGCGTTCTCGTTCTGCGCTGTCAAAATTTGGGGTTTGTCAAAAATCTGTGTTGGTCTCCGTTCAACAAAAAAATTGAGGTTTTCTTTCCCTCCCATATATGGCCTTTCCTGCCCCATTCGCATCCTTTCCTGATGTGAACTCCTCATATAAATCCACACAAAAATCCTCCCTGAGTCACAGCTCACACACAACCCCAGCACTGACTCCTGCAGAAGCACAGCCCTGATTTCAGGATTTGCAAATAATGAGGAGCTGCCCAGCACAAAGGGCAGGAGAAGCTGCTGAGCTTGTCCGTGAGGCTTTCAGGAGAGCAGTGAGGATTCAAGCTGAGCCTGAGGCCAGTCCTGCACCCTGTGCCATCCCTGGGCTGAGCAGGTCCAGCCTCACACTGTCCCTGCAGGGAAAAGGGAGCTCAAAGGGCACCAGGCAGCTTTCCTGAATTGCTCAGAAACTATGGGGAGATGTGGCACATTTATTTATATATTTAACTTCCCAAAGAATGTCTCTCCCTGGATCCTCAGCATCTCCAGGACGAGACACGAGGCTGAGGAGCCCAAACGTGCCCTGCTGGATTTTTCCTCCTGCTACATTTCTTTGTTCTCTGGGAATCTCGTGCATTTTCTCAAGTTTAGCCTTCAATTCACTGCTCACCCTCCTCGTCAGGAGTGCAGGGATCGATTGTAAATCAACTGAGGGAAATACTCAAGTCATTACCAAAGTAGCTGGATTTTCATCCCTGATTAAGGCTTAGATAAATGAGTGCTCCAACTGATATAATTAAGGAGACAGACAGGGGGACAGCTCAGGAAGCATGCAGTAATTCTATTTTTAAACATATCTCTGTACTGATATATGACAGGGGAAGTAAATAAGTGTCTAATTTAAATTCTGCCGGCACAATTAGAAATATTAATCTTAACATGAGCAATGATGGCTCATATTGGTGCTTTGCAAAAGCTTTTCCAGCTGACAGAGATCAATGAGCACTGAGGGCTCAGGCTGTGAGACCCAGCCTTGCTTTTTCCATCACCTGTACTATGGGATGTGTGGGCCTACACCTGGCAGGGAGAAATGCCTTTTCTCCTGGTTTTCACTCAAGACTCCCCTGGTTTTGGCTCCTCAGAACACTTGCTCAAGCTAAAAACCAACATTATTTTGGGAGCTATAAACAAGAGGAGGAGATGGGTTTGTCAGGAGACTTTTTGCTGGTAAAACACTCTGTGAAATGAACGATAATGAAAGATCAGCACTCGAGAGATTTTGCCACTGCTGCCTTTTATGGAAGTCTATTATTACAATTATTGTGGATTTAGTGTTCCGAGCGTGCACCTGGCACCTTGCAGGCTCATTTTCTCAGGCTGCAGCATCTTCAGGGACCCTCTGGAATGTGCTGAGCCCTTCTATTATGCAAATCAGGAATTCCCAGGTGTGCACATCCCTGCACTCTGTGCTAAGATTGCCCTTCCCCATTTGTGACCCATTAGCTCAGAGCTCAGGATCCTGCACTCGGGGAGGAAACAGGGGCAGGATCAGATGAATCAGGTTTATCTGTGGTGCCTCTCTGCTCAGGGGCACAGGGCTCAGAGATGCTCTCCTGCATCACCCATCCCCTCTGAGCCCTTGGAACCTCTCCCAGGCCCCACATTCCCAAAGGCTGCTCCCGTTCTTGCCGTTTCCTTTTCCCTCCTCTCACCTTTCCTGGTCCTTTTGCTGTTCTCACAGCTGGAAAAGCCTTTGCAATCCAAACCAGCAGCCAAGGACGTTTTTCTGTCTGGATTTACATTTCTTTTGGGTGGTTTTTTGGGGGGAGCCGCTGCTTTTTCCCCACCTACACCCCGGTGTCTGTCCATCCCACCCCTTCCCATCCCATTTCTCACCATATCTGCTGATGGATGTCCGGGAGATGCTGGCAGAGGCAGGGATGTTGTAGGAGGAGGTTTGCTTGGGGACCAGAGCCACCACGGAGCGGTCTGACACCTGGGGGAGGCAAAGCAGGACGAGCTCAGGGGCATTCCCTGCCCACCCTGTGATCCCAGGCTGCTGATCCAGCAAATCCTGGGAAGGGCAGCCCAGGACACACTCCCTGAGCCCTGTGCTGGGTCAGGCTACAGCAGCAGCCTGAAGGAAATGAAGGATAAATCAAAAGATGTGGCGAAGATGCTTTTGGTCGTTCTGATTTAAGATTATGCCTTCCCCAATAAAAATGAGAATCTCAAGAATTGTTGTGATCCAATTAAAGTAACAATGCAGAGGGAATAAAAGGGCTGTAATAACGTTATGGGCCATAAAACATTCCTATTAAACCATTTTTTATTTTAGCAATTTTTACGAACTTTAAAAGTTTGATTTACAGCGGAGCAAGTCATAAAGCCATCTTTCAGGGTATTTAATTGTTATCCCTTTACTGCTCCAGAGAAGGAATTAAACACTGGGAAGTCAAACTATAAATGAACATTAGCACTAACAAGGTTTTGTTACAGCAGATTTTAGTAGCCATGTTTAATTTTATCCTCCCTATAAATCTGGTAGTCACTGGAAGTTTTCTAACTTATTCCCCTTAATTAAGGAGCTGCAGGTTTCCAGGGAAGGGGCCTGAGTAGCTTTTAATTTTGAACTTGTGACCTGTGGTGCAGCACAGTGAGGGAGCAGAGTCACCACATCTTGCCAGGGCCCAGCAGATACTTTTTAGAGGCTCAGCACAAAAGAAATGCCTCTTCCTGCTGCAGGAATTGCTTTTTGGGGCTAAACCCTGCATTATCTGCCAGGAGTCTGGTGATGGACTCAGCACTGTCCCCAGGAATGGAGGTTTTTGCTCCCCCAGCAGCTCCAGAGGTCTGTACCCTATCTGCAGCACCAAGGTGAGCTGCACACAATGACCTGTGCTGCCTCCAAGGCTTTGGGCTCCATCCAGATGAAAGGTTTCACGGAAATCCGAGTTGTTATTATTGCTGGTGATAGTGGAAATAATAGTTACTTGTGTTTCACGGCACAAAAGTGAGATTTTTCTAAGCAAAACACTGCAAACACCTCCATAATTTCCTTTGCTGCTCCTGCCTCACTTCATCCAATTTATTAAGTCAGTGGAAGGAGTGATCAGTGCTGATATTATTTTCTCAGGCTGTTATTAGCTGCCACTTCAGCTCCATCTCACCAGGGAGAAACCCGAGCCCAGGGTGCTCTCGATCCATTTCCACCAGGGCTGTGCTTAACTGGAAGAGAGGCACTAAAAACTGCACACACACAGGCACACAAAAGAGCCCTCTCACTCAGTAAATTTTGGGTGGAATGGCTGCTGTCAGCTCAGCCCCAGCAGCTGCAGAGCAGCCTCAGGTGGAGCGGGCGTTCGCTCCCGCAGCACCCCCGGGACGCGCTCCGAGCTGCCTGGCTGCTTTACAACTTTATAAATATTCTGATTGTTCTACAAGCTGGAAACACGGGGCACAAAACACCTTAAAGAGAGGGAAAAGAAAACCTGGGAGGGGGAGAAGGGAGCCCAGGCCCTGGAGCTGTGTCTGCGTGGGGCAGCGAGGGCGCGATGACGATTCCAGCTCCGCACCCACACCACCCTAAGCCTCATTTTCCACCCAAACCTTCCCTTTCTCCTCCTGATTTTTCATTTAAAGCAGTTTCCCGGTCTCCTGGCCTCTCCAGACTGGCAGGGGCTGACAGGTATTCATGCTCTGCTGCCTCTGAGTTAACCCTGCGTGAGCCGCTGTAAATCATTCGATATTAAATTCAGTGTTTCATTTTTCCTGAGTGAAACCACACGGGGTAAGACTCTCCCATGGAGTTTAATAGCCACGAAACCAAAAGGATATGACACAAATGTAATACAATTCCCTGCCATGTCCAACAGCTCCGGAGAATTTAACAAAGAATTACACTTATTTAAGCTACACATCTATTTTTATAAATGAAGAAATAAGCAGGAGGTGCACAGCTCTCTCTATAATTTCATGAAGTGGTTCAAAACTATTAGAAAGGTGAACATTTCTCTTTAATTCCAATTTGGGTTTTGAATGTGAAGGCTTCCCATGAAAAATGCATTTGATCAGTCATTGTGTTTTTGTGATTCTAATGCAGAAAACAAAAGCAACAAAATGCAGCATCCAGGTGTGGAGCTGGGAAAGCCTTGGGGTTAAATAACCCCCCTGGGGGCACGGTGAGGAGGAGGAGGGTGCCTTGGAGCCCTGGAGCTGCAGGAATGGGGCTGTGGGGAACGGATGCTGGGAATCAGGAGCAGGGAACTGAGCACCAGGAGGGTCCTGCAGCCTCCCAGGGGCAGCACCTGCCCAGGGGACACACCTGGAACCTGGGCTGAGCAGCCCCCAGCAGCACCTGCAAACCCAGGGACCTCCCTGCCTTCATCAGAGCGGGACAAAGACAAAACAGCTCTGAATGAAAAACGGGCAGGGCTTTGCAAAGCTGCTTTCACTTCTTTCCCAGAAATCTAGAAATCATCTTTACTGATCCTCTGGAAATCCACGTTTATTTTAATGGTTTGAACCACACCTGGCTCCTGTGTCACACTGCTGTTAAACGGTGAGAGCACGTGGAGCTCCAGTGACTTTATACCCTCCTAAAGCTGGGCCTTCACCCAGGTATCTCTTCTACTGTGTAGTCCTGGAACATCTGTATTTTTGATACCTAATAAAACTTTTACTGCAACAGAAAAAAACCCCAAACCGGTAAGAATAAAAAAAAAAAAATTATATATATATACATATATAAATTTATATATATATATATATATGTTAGTTTTTGGCAACAGCCTGGCCTTGACAGGATTTCTGCTGCAGTGAAAAGAATTTGGTTTCTCTTTAATGACTGAGACAGCTCTGTTGGGCTGAGCAGGGCTCGGGCTCCTGTCACTACCTGGCTGGATGTTTGGCTGCCAACTTCTCCTTTCTTCCAGAGCAAACCTGACATTCAAATGGCAGCAAGAGCTGCAGCACCTCGAGTGCTGCGAGGATTTTGTTTATTTTAAGGGGAAGCTTTTGGCTCAGGTTCTCCCACAGGCTCTGGAACAAAAGTGCTCCCTCCCCCAGCATGCAGCACACATCAGACAAGCACAGCTTTCACTTGTGACTTCCTCACGATGACTTTTAAAGATCAAGGCATAATAAAGCTTCCCTGCTTGTTGGTTAATCCCTTGCAACTGTCAGGTAAAACAGATTTTTAGGAACAATGGAATTAATCTGCGCAACTCCTCTGACATTTTTCGGTAATCTGTGCTTAAATCCTGGGGGCTGCTTGGAAAAGTTGACCCTGGAGGTGCTTTTTAACATGCACTGTGCATATTGATGGCACTCTCCTGCCTGATTGCAGGGCTCCTGTCAATACTGGCTCCCATTCAAGTCCCCCAGCGTGAGTCAGGCTGATGGACTGGAGATGCTGGATAAACAGGGAGAGATGCCAGATTAAATACTAAACACTTCTGGGGAGGTGGTGATGGACAGGAGTAGGTTACAGTCCCAATTAATGCACTTATCCTGTGCTGCAGACAGGCTGGGAGGGAAAGCCTTTGATTCCCTGCAGCCAAACCTTCCTCAGCCCCCTCCTTACCTCTCTTCCCATCTTTTGCTTTGATTCCCTTTATCCAAACCTTCCCCAGCTCCCTTTTTTTCCCATCTTTCACACTGTGAGGAGCCCTTTCCAACAGACTCTGCCCTCTCCAGAAGATAAAGACAGCAGGAATTTCTTAGGCCTTATCACCCACCCTGTCTGAGCATTTCCCTGCCTGGCTCCACTTCCCTGTGATTTTATTCCTCCCCTGCTGCACTCCAGGCTGTCCCAGACCCCCGACAAGGTCCTGAGCCCCCCGTGCTGCCCTCCCCAGGCCCCTCATCCCCAGCAGTGCCAGCTCAGCCCCTGCACCGCTCCCTCTGCCTCTCCCCCATGGCTGGCAGGTTTAATTCAGCCAATTTTCAACTCTGCTGCTCCCTTTGAGCTCCGTGTCAAGGTTGCCTTCCCCCCTAACGCCGCAGCACACGGAACCCTTCTGGTTTATCACACAAACGTGACCTCCCTGTGTGCCTGGGCAGAGGAGGAGGCACTGGGAATTCGGTTCCTGGTGCTCTTTTCCCTGCTGGCAGCTTGCTGGGAGCTGTCAGTGGGGCTGCTCCCTCACCTGGTAGTGCACCAGGGTGTTCAGGCGCTTCCAGTCCCCCTCGATCTTGGTGGTGATGTCTTCATCCTGCAGCACCACGCGGGCGATCCGGCCCTGCCGCCACTCTGGGACAGGGAAAGCCACGGTCAGAGCTCTGCCAAGCCCACCAGGAATGGCCCCCAGCCCCTCTGATCACCCCCCTCCCTCCCACGGGGCAGCTCCTACCCAAATCCATGTCCACAGCTCTCGGTCGTTGGGAGTAGGGCACATTTTTGTACACGGCATCCAGGATCTTCTCCTTGACTTGGGTGATGGTGTCGCAGTTCAGCACCTTCACGGGGATCTCTGGGCTGTTCTCGTTGTCTGGGTTCACACAGTTCAGGATCTGCAAGACAAGAACCACACCGTGCTCTGAAGGAGAGGTGCAACCACGTGTCACAACAGCACATAAAACACCCCACTGCAGCCCTAAATGCACCCCTGCTATTGCATCTGGGATATTTACACAATTATTGCTGAGAGAGGAGCCCTGCACGTCCAGTTTCACTCGCTGCAGGAGGGCAGTGCCCAGAGCACAGGGAGATAACACATTCCCCTCAAACTGGGGCCACACCGGGCTGGGACACGTGTCCTTACTGCCCAGCAGCACTCACAGCTCAGGCAGGGCCCTGATCCCTGCTCCAGGGATGCCAGCAGGGCCAGCCCAGCCCAGGGCCAGCAGGGTTTGTCACCCACCAGGGTCTTGTACTCGATCTGCTGCCGGATGAGCTTGTCCTCGCTCAGGGAGTAGCGCGCCTCTCCCGTGATGGCATCGATGGGGCCCTTCTCCATCTGCTGCTTGATGGCACAGTAGAGCATGAACAGGGGCTCTCCAGCACATTCCTGCACGGGAGGAGGACACAGAGCTGGCTCAGGGTGAAGGTGCCTCTCCTCCTGTGCCAGCCCCGCTGGGATTGCCCCCAGCACAGGCTCAGCCCCGCTAACTCAACCCTGAGCGCAGCCCCAGCAGCTCCTGGAGAGCTCAGCCAAAGCCCTGAGCTCCACTGCTCCATGGCTGTGTTGTCTTTGGCAGGGTAAATCCCTCCTGAATCTATGTGGCTGTAAAAAAATGGAATTTGAGATCTCGGTCTCACCCTTCACTCCCCTGGAGCAAATTCAGTGGGGCTCCCAAAGCCACAAATGAAGTTAAAAACTGTGGAAGCCGAGGCAGGAAGATGTGAGAATTTCCCTCAAGTACCCAAGAGGTGTAACAGAACCTCCTTTAGTGGGAATTACTCTGGGAGACCCAAGGCTTGGGAAGGCTGTGAGCATGGAGCAGCATCCCCAGAGCAAATCTCCACCTCTCCATCCTTGCTACTCCATCTCTTGGAGCCTGCTGGAAGAGTTTCACCCCAGACAGACCCCGGGGGTGAGGCAGCAGAGCAGGGTCCCTGCTCCACCCCTCCTTACCTTGAGGAACCTGTGGAGCAGGAAGGCAAACCAGTTGGTCAGCATCTTCTCGGCCACCGACTCGGTCCTGGGGGAGGCAGGAGGGCACACATCACACACGAGCCCCTGTCCCTGTCCCAGTCCCTGTCCCTGCAGCGCTGCCAGCCCGTCCCAGCCTGCTGGGGCTGGTGACAGCGAGCTGGTGACACTCAGCTCCCCGCACGTGGCGCAAATTACAGCCTGGCTCAGTAAATCACTGGGATTTGCAGCAGCTCCTGGCAATCAGGGACAGCCGAGCGACAATGGCAGGGAAATTGCAGCTTTCTCCCCAGTCCCACCCCGTGCCCTCTCCCCGCATTGTGCCCGAGATTATCTCTAATTTAAATACAATGGTTCCTAATGGCAGCTTTTAGCGCTGCCTCTGCAGGACCCGGAGGTTTTCCTTAAAGCTCCACAGCCGCTTTTCCTGGGATGGGATGGGATAATGGGATGGGATGGGATGGGATGGGATGGGATGGGATGGGATAATGGGATGGGATGGGATGGGATGGGATGGGATGGGATGGGATGGGATGGGATGGGGATGGGATGGCTCTGGTGGTCGTGGAGTGCCTCAAATTGGAGCCCCAGCCCCGTGCAGGGGAGAGCTGCTGTGACCATGACCATGGCCACCTGTGACCATGTCCCTGGCCAGCTGTGACCATCACCCTGGCCAGCTGTGACCATGGCTTGGCCTGGCTTGGCTCAGCCTTGCCCTCATGCACACCAGGATCTGGTCCAAGTTCCAGCAAGCAAAGAGGGATGAATGCAATTCCCTTTCCCCTGGGGACTGATCCCTCTGACCTCACCATGAACCAGGTCACCTCCTCCTGGAGAGGGGCACATGGATGGGGATGGGATGGGATGGGATGGGATGGGGATGGGGATGGGATGGGGTTGGGGATGGGGATGGAGATGGCTCTGGTGGTCGTGGAGTGCCTCAAATTGGAGCCCCAGCCCCGTGCAGGGGAGAGCTGCTGTGACCATGACCATGGCCACCTGTGACCATGTCCCTGGCCAGCTGTGACCATCACCCTGGCCAGCTGTGACCATGGCTTGGCCTGGCTTGGCTCAGCCTTGCCCTCATGCACACCAGGATCTGGTCCAAGTTCCAGCAAGCAAAGAGGGATGAATGCAATTCCCTTTCCCCTGGGGACTGATCCCTCTGACCTCACCATGAACCAGGTCACCTCCTCCTGGAGAGGGGCACATCTCACTCCAGCCCCATTTTCCCCATTCTTCCCCTTCAGTGAGGGACTGCCTCTTGCTCCGAATCCCCACAGCATTCCAAGTGCTTGGAATTACAAGCACACACCAAAGAAGCACAGGGCTTGATTCCAGAGCCAAGCAGATCAAGAATAAAGAGGAGCCAGAGATTTCAGCAAACAAAAACTGACACCAGTCGGCCAACAAACCTGGGGTAGCATCATCCATCATCTCCTAGGATGGCAACATCTGTCAGGAATTCATGAAAATGTCTGCACATCCCCAAAGAATTTAAGGCTGAATTGATTAACTGCCTAAAAATTCATCCTACAAATTGACACACACATCGTTCTCCTGTTTGAAATATTTCAGGCATCCAATTAAGGAGAAGAAGCACCAGCACCCTTCCAAACAGCCCTAGAAAATGGAGAGGCAGTGACACAAGCCACAGAAGAGGTGAAAAACTCAGAAAATAATACATTCAGGGCTGCAGGGGGAATATTAATTTAATAAACTAATTAAACTAATTTATTAAACTTTGTTAATAGAATATTAAATGAAGAACTAGCAAGTCTCCCAATTAGCCCTCCCCATGAAGATGCTGTGTCCTGTCCCTGTGGGCTGCTCATGGCCTGACACCAGCTCTGCAAAAGGCACTGAAATGTGGAGGGACACGGAAGCTGGGGAATTTTGAGGGGGAGAATGGGATGGGATGGGATGGGATGGGATGGGGACAGGGGTGGGATGGGATGGGATGAGATATTTGCAGTGTCTCAGTCCTGGGAACAGCCAAAAACTGAGTCAGTGCTGGGTTCATCCTCACTGCCCTGTGCTGGTGGAGAGGGGCAGCTCTCAACCTCCCTGGTGCTGGAACGCCTGCATGGAGCATCCCTGCCCTCCTCTGCCTTGCAAATGGGAAACTGCCTCACAGCCCAGGGCCTGGCCTTTCTCCTACACACAGAGAGCTCTGCTGAGCCCCCAAATCTGCTGAGCCCCCAAATCTGATGAGCCCCCAGATCTGCTGCCAGGTTTTGAGCTGCCCCAACCAGCACCGCTCTGTGCCATCGCTGGCCTCTGGATGCTGTTAAAGATCTGCTCCAAAAATAAAAAATAAACTCCTGGAGATTGCCAGGGCAGAAGAGAATCCCTAGAGTTGGAGCAAACCCTTCTCATGCTGACCACAGGAGGAGGGCACAGCACAATCCAGAGATGATTTTGCAAAGGAGCCTGACAAGAACGCCCGGCCCTGGCTGCTCCGGCAAGAAAACAAACCTAAACAAAACGAGCTGGGAGAACCTAAAAAATAAATATGTATTTTATTAATTCTCCCTGCTCTATGTAGGTCTCCAAACTGCTGTTGCCAGCAACCAGAGCAGCTGTTTGATTTAACGTCAACTTTCTTGCTGTCTCCCGCGAGGGGCAGTCGTGAAGAAAGAGAGAGGGGAAAGCGAGGAAGAAAGAGGGAAAGAACTGAGTGTCACTTATCAGCTGCTGCCACCAGAGAGCTCAAAACATTTTAAAAAATAGTGTTTCACTTCGTGGTTGATCACTCCTTATTAAGTCAGAGCAAGGAGCTCCAGGCTGGGCTGGAGCAGCTGGGCACAGGGTTGGGACAAGTCTCCAGCCCAGGGTTTAATAGGACCTGGAGTATCAGGACAAGGAATAAAGCTTTTAAACTAAAAGGGAGTAGATTCAGACTAGATATAAAGCAGGAATTTTTATAAGGGTGGTGAAACACTGGCCCAGATTACCCAGATTGGTGGTAGATGCCCAATGCTGTGATTCCCTGTGCAATGGGTAAATCCTGGTGCAGGACAGACAGCCCAAAGGACAGACAGCCCAAAGGACAGACAGCCCCCAGCCCTGACTCCTTGCTGGCTGTGCAGGGAGGAGGGGGCACAGCTCATATCACCATCCCTGGCTTTTTTGGAGCGCCAGGAAAAGTCATTATTGATGGCTGAGGCAGAAGACGCCTTCCCAGTGACTCGTCAAACCACGGGGGAAATTAAGGCGGCTTCCTTTGCCAAGATGAGTTATTGCCTCCGCAAACACAGCCAGATTTAAAGCAATTTCCTGTCAAGTATATTCATTGTGGCTGCAGGGACCCCTGAAATTTTCCTGGAGCTGTGAAATCCTCCCCTCTCTCCAGTGTGATGCCAGCACAGCCGAGGGGCAGCACTGGCCAAGGCCAGGCTCTGCAGGACCCCCAAGGACGTGGAGAACAGGGGCAGCCTTTTCCTTGTGCCCACTGTTTTGTCCCACATTAATGCATATTTTTTCCCTATTTTCTTGCTGTCTCTTCCCAGCTCTGCCATGGGTGAGTTGCTCAATCCATGTGAGCTCCTGGCCCAGCTGTGGCACACAAATGCTGCTCCCCAGCCAGGCAGAGCCAGAGGATCTGGTTTGAGACACTGTCCAGTCACCTGTGAGCTCCCAGAGCAGGGCTAAGCCCCCATCCTGGAGAGAGGCGAGGAGATGTCCCCCTCCAAAACCCTGCAGAGCCCTCAGATCACAGAATCCTGGAATTATTCAGGTTGGAAAAGACCTCTGAGATCATCAAATCCAATCCATGTCCAACCCCCTCCTTGTCAACAAGACCAGACCCTCCAGACACTGCACCACCTCCCTGGGGCAGCCCCTCCCAGCCCTTTCCACGACGGAATTCCTCCTGGAAGCCCCACCAGCGCGGCCGTGCCGCCCGCAGCCCCCATCCCCTGCCCGTGCCCGGCCTCACCTGCGCAGGAGCAGCTTGGGGTGGTTCTTGTTCTCCAGGTTCTTCTCGATGAGGTCGGAGAGCAGCTGCTTGAGGACGTCGGTGGCGTACTCCAGCTTGCCCTGCAGCCCCGTCATGATCAGCGAGGCCACGTTGCCGCGGTCGCGCATGGAGAAGCTGCGCTGCAGCTCCAGCGTGCGGATGAAGGTCAGCAGGAACACCTTGTTGTTGATCAGCTGGGCAAAGAGCTTCAGGGCCTTCTCCACGCTCTGCTGCCCGTTGCCCTGCACCTGCAGGAGGAGGTGGTGGCCGTCAGCAGGGACAAGGGACAGCAGGGCAGCGCTGCCACCACCGGGGTCACCCTGCCAGCACCGGGGGAATCTCAGGAGCAGGGAATGGTTTGGGTGGGAAGGGACTGAAAAGACCTCTGAGATCATCAAATCCAATCCATGTCCAACCCCCTCCTTGTCAACAAGACCAGACCCTCCAGACACTGCACCACCTCCCTGGGGCAGCCCCTCCCAGCCCTTTCCACGACGGAATTCCTCCTGGAAGCCCCACCAGCGCGGCCGTGCCGCCCGCAGCCCCCATCCCCTGCCCGTGCCCGGCCTCACCTGCGCAGGAGCAGCTTGGGGTGGTTCTTGTTCTCCAGGTTCTTCTCGATGAGGTCGGAGAGCAGCTGCTTGAGGACGTCGGTGGCGTACTCCAGCTTGCTCTGCAGCACCGTCATGATCAGCGAGGCCACGTTGCCGCGGTCGCGCATGGAGAAGCTGCGCTGCGACTCCAGCGTGCGGATGAAGGACAGCAGGAACACCTTGTTGTTGATCAGCTGGGCAAAGAGCTTCAGGGCCTTCTCCACGCTCTGCTGCCCGTTGCCCTGCACCTGCAGGAGGAGGTGGTGGCCGTCAGCAGGGACAAGGGACAGCAGGGCAGCGCTGCCACCACCGGGGTCACCCTGCCAGCACCGGGGGAATCTCAGGAGCAGGGAATGGTTTGGGTGGGAAGGGACTTAAAAATCTACTCATCCCACCCCCTGCCATGGCAGGGACGCCTTCCACTACCCCAGAGTGCTCCAACCTGGCCTCAGCCACTTCCTTCAGTCACTGCCACAGCTTCTCTGGGCACCCTGTGCCAGGGCTTCACAGGGAATAATTTCTTCACAAGATCCCACCTAACCCTGCCTTCTGCCAGTCTGAATCCATTCTCCCTTCTCCTGTCCCTGCAGTTCCTGATGAACAGTCCCAGCTCCTGCTCTCTTGTCACCCCTTCAGACTCTGGAAGGTGCTGGCAGGTCTCCACATGATTTTCTCTTCTCCAGACTGAACATTTCCAACTCTCCCAGCCTGTTCCAGCCTCCTGAGCAACTTCCTGGCCTCCTCTGGACTTGCTCCAGCAGTCCTTCTCACATTGGGGGCATCAGAAGTGTGCACAGGATGGTTTAACCCTGGCTGCACCCATCCCTCAGGATCTCAGCATCCCTGGACGTGGTTTCTGGTCCATCTTGAGCAAACCTCCCCCTCCACAGCTGCCCTGAGCCCTGGCTGGGAGCTGCACTCTGTGCAGCCTGGAGCCCAATGGCCCCAGAAATGACACCCAGTTCTGCTTGTTCTGCACAAAAAGTGACACTCTGGTAAGTAAATTAAACACTAATTTAGACTATTGCTTTATTATGGGCCAAGTGTAAAAAATTAATTGAGGCTTTCAGCCAGTTGCGGATTCAAGTAATTCATTACAAGTGAAAATGATGAACTGCACGAAGCAACTCTTTACCAAACATCTTGGAGAGTTATGTATTGGTTTTACTAACGTTACATAATTAAGCAACTGTGTAATTGGCAACACATTTATCACTTCTGCAATTCTGTTTTTCATGAGTAAAAAAATAAAAAAAAGCATTCATATTTGTTTGCTGGAGTGTCAGCTTCTTTGGCAACTCCAACAGCAAACATAATGCACAGAGCTGGAAAACTCGGAGCAGGAATGGGCTGGGAGAGGCTGCTCCTGTTTTAGCAACACCACAGAGACTGCTGGGTGCTGGTGGCTGAGGAAAGGAACCCAAATTAATGCTTTAATGGTGGGGAGTGCCTGCCTGGAAAAGGAATCCAGCCCTAGAGCCACCATGATTCCTCCCTCCTACATCCAGCCCTGGTCTGTGTGGAGGAAACAGGATTTCAGGATTTACTGGGGCAATCCCAGTCCTGAAAGGCTGAGCTGAGCATCTGCACATCCCACAGGGAGGATGGCAGCTCCATCCCAGGGTGGGCCTCACAGCCCCATCCCAAGGGAAGGAGAGCAGCCCCATCCTAGGTGTGATGTTTATGAAGCCTATCCTTTTTTTGGCCCCTTCCCAGGTGAGCAGGGCCCATCTGCCAGGTGCACTGATGGACCCCTGCGCCTTCCCAATCCCTCCGTATTCCCAGTGAAAGTTTTTTGTATATTTTTACACATCCTGGTGGGAAAACCAGGGAGGTGGAAGCGCTTGCTCAGAGGCTGGAATTCCTGGGCGTTCTCCTTGCCCTCCTGTGGACACGCGAGGGAACAGCAGCAGGATGCTCCGGGCAGGATGCTCCGGGCATTCAAACATCCCCTGCCCCACCAGGTGACTTTGGAGGACTTTAAAGCACACCACGACTGCTCTGCCCTGCTCTGCCGCTGCCCTGGAGTGATACAAACCTCCATAAAATAAAAACAAACCAACACCAGGCAGGAGAAGCCGAAAGGAATCCGGCGATGTGGGAGGAGACAAACCTCCAGGCTGGGCGTTAAAACGAACCCTGCTGACCCCAGGGCATCCAATAATTTGGTGTGGAGCTCCAAAGGCGCTGCAGGGCTTCCTGCTGCCTTCCCTGAGGGCTCGGGGGAGCCGGGAGAGCTGGGGCAGGGCGGGGGTTACCTCCAGCTCCCGCAGGACAGGGTGGTCCTCGATGCCCGGGAAGAGCACGCGCATGGCGTAGGTGCGGTAGTCCAGGTAGGGGATCCCCGAGCGGTCCAGGTCGCTGGTCAGCTCGTTGATGTCCGTCTGCAGCTCTGCAAAAGCTGTTCGTGGGGAGAGAGAGGGGCAGGGGGAGCTCAGCTCTGGGGGGCTTTGGGCAGGGCTGGCTGGCCGCCCTCCCCGCGGGCACGGCAGGAGGGGACGGCGCAGGAAAGGGTTCCAGGGAGCTCAGCACACCCTGGAGATTCTGTCTCAGCAGCCGAGGGTGGGAGAGCAGGCTCTGCTCAGAGCAGGCTGAGAACAAAGCTGTGGTTAATTTGTATGCAGTTCACACCTGTGCACACACACCTACAACACCTTTAAAGGCTGCGCAGAGAAACGAGGATCTGTTTTCATAACTTGCTGCCTCCCCTATTTTCCTTTCTTCTTGTTTTCCTCCTCTATCAACAGTTGCCAGGATAATCAAATCTGATGCAGATCAAATCTGAGCTGCGGCAGGGGTCAGGAAGGGATTTATTCTTCCTCTCCTAACACCGTGTTGTACAGCTGGATGTGTCTCCTCGTGTTCCCTCTCCAAAGTGAGACACACTGGCTCAGGGAAGCCTCTGTAGCCCAGCTGGGCTGTGCCAAGCTGAATCTGTGGCTTCTCCTGAATACATCTCAATTTCTGCTTTCAAGGCTACCCTTGAAATCAGCTGAACAAATCCAATGCTACTCTCTCTCTCCACTATGAAATGTGCAGCTATTTATTTTACTTTGATTGATTAAGCCCCTTCCCAGGTGGGAGGAGCAGGAAACAGCAGCAGCATCCCCCAGAAATCCACCTCCACCTGCGGGGTGAGGAGGGCTCAGCTGCCTCCTTGCAAAGGACAGGACTCGTCCACGTGCAAACTCTCAAGCAGCAGCTCTGGATACTCCAAATAACACCCAAAATTTAGGCAGGGTGCCTAAGCAGGATCAAGCTCTAATCCCATTCTCTGCACATCAGAGCCGTGCCTGCTGCTCACACACTGTGGGCTGCCACCCTCCTGCGGTGGGGCAGGCATGGGAACCCCCAAAAATCCCACAAAAAAAAGCCCACAAACCCCAAGGAGCACCCACAAACCCTAAGGAACCCCCACCCAGCTCCCCGCTGCACACCCCGGGGCACTGGGAGAACTGGGACCCCAGCCAGGGAGCTGCAGCAGCCAGGGATGCCCAGCCCCAGCAGCACTGACCCTCCTTGCACTCCAGGGCCACCCGGGACTCCAGGTTGTCCATCTGCATCTGCAGCCTCTTGAGGGTGAGGTCGTTCTCGCGGGACTTGCGCTTGTAGGCGATGAGGACGATGATGACGATGATGAGGAGCAGCGAGCCGCCGGCCGCGATGCTGACGATGGCGGGCAGGGTCAGCAGGCTGTCGGACACGATGCTCACCGAGCCGGGGGAGAAGATGACCCCCCCAACACGCACCTGCAGGGCACAGCACGGGTGAGCAGCGGTGCCCCTGTGCCAAGGCCCGTCCTGCCCACCACGGGGCCCTACAGATCCCTGGGGGAGCGCTGAGCCTCCTCTGCTTAGGAACAGGAAACCCCAGCTGCCTTCAAACACGGAGGGGGCTGCTTGTGTGAGCACAGGGAGGCTTCAAGTGATGATAAATGCGCCAGCCCTTCACTATCTGGGCTTTGTTCTTATTATCTGATGGCTCCATTTGACTTTCATTTTATAAGCTTTCAACTCCTTTCGTAAGCCACGGACGTTAACAAGCCCCTGATCATTCCACTGACAAGAAACCAGAGTGACTGCAAGGGCAGAGCAGAGAAGGGAGCAGAAAGCCCCACGTGAGAGCTGTGGAGCAAACAGGCTGGAGTTTACACCAGGACAGGCTTTTCTTGGATGTGCCCTGGCCACAGATGTGAGCAGCTCTCAGCCAGGTTGAGCTGCTGGGAGTCACACTGCGATAATCTGAATATGTTTTGGATGCTGAACTTCAAGGGAAATAAATCACAATTACAATCTCATTTGGGCTCTGCTCAGGCAGTTCAGCAGCTGGGGCTTGGTCTGCAGGAGGAGCAGAGGAAGCAGCGATGCCCAAACCCCGAGCAGAGGGAGGCACTGAGGGCTGTCCTGGATGAGGGTGTTGATCCAACCACTCCAGTGTTCAGATGTTCCTGGCTCCTGCTTCGGGAAAAGGCAAAACCTTTCCATCCGCTTGGCAGCTCAGGTCTGTCTCCGTGGGCTGATTAAACCCTCCAGGAGGAAGAACGCTGGGAATGGTCTCAACTGCATCCAGAGGAAGGATGGCACCCAGTGCCAAAGGCACTGCCAGAAAGATTTGCTCCTTCTAGAAGGCTCTGAGGGGTATTTATCCTTCTAGAAGGGAGTCACTCTCAGGGAAGGACAAAGCCTCTCCATGCTAATAATCCACACCAATATTTTAAACTTCCAATCAGACACCCATAAAATGGAAAAATCCTGCTGGGGGATTGTGTATCCAAGCGAGTCAGGGAGCTGCAGAAGGAGGAGAAAGGGCGGGGAGGAGAGGGGAAGGGGATGCTGGAGGACATCCTCACCACCACTTTGTGCTGCCCGGTGAGGGTGGGGGGCTCGCACAGCAGCTGTGTCTCGGACACGGTGACGGCACAGGGCGTCTCCCCGATCAGCACCGTGTAGTTGAGCTTGGCTCCTCCCGGGGCGGGCGGGCACAGGTTCCTGCCCTGGGGACACGGGGACACCGACAAAGATGCAGCACATCCCTCCAGCTTCCACCTCGCGCAAACAACGGGGCTCTGTTTAGGGCGCCCCAAACTCTGCAGCAGGGAGAACCCAACTCCCTCCCTCCCTGGGTTTTGTGGGCTCCCCACGGGCTGAGCGAGGCTCTCCTTACCTTCAGGATGATGGGAGAGCCCGGCTTCTGCTCCAGCACCCCGGTGGAGCTCAGCATTTCAAAGGTGGGGTTGGGGTAGTAGATGAACTTGGTGTCGTTGTAGAGCAGCAGGGACTGGACGTTGTTGAAGATGAAGCCGAACTCGTCCGGGCGCTCCACGGCGTCCAGCCCCGGCCGGTACTCGGCGGTCAGCGGCGGCGCCAGGCAGGCCAGGGCCGTGGCATTCACCACCTTGCACACCTGGGGAAGGGACACAGCAGGGAACACTCTGCCCTGAACCAGGCCAGGGCCGTGGTGTTCACCACCCTGCACACCTGGGGAAGGGACACAGCAGGGAACACTCTGCCCTGAGCTGGAGCGTGGTGCTCTGGTGGATGGGAAGCCCAGGGGGTTCATGCCTAGCTGGAATATTTAATCCAGGCTTGATGCTCTGTGGTCTCACAGGTCTCTTCCAACCTTACTGATTCCACTGCCATAATTTGGGGTAATTTGCTTCTCCTCCAGCCAGCATGAAGGCACTGGGGTAGAGAAGGAGGGTGAGCCCAAAATGAGCTGTGTTTCAGTGGAGCTAAAGGCTCTCACAGCAGCTCTTACTTATTTTTCTGTATTTTTTTTCCCACTCCTTTCCACTTTCCTCCTCTCCAGCTCTGAAGCAGACCCACAGGGAATACCAGTTCCCTGCTGCAAATGGGTGATTAGAGGCCATTCCCAAATGCCAGCGAGGGAAGGGAACAGATCATGTGGCACTGGTGGGCAGGAGGGAACATGAAGGTCATCTCCTGCTGGGCTGAGGACACCCACAGCTCCTGCAGCCCTCAAAGCAGGGAAATCACTGATTTATGGGGCTCTTGCCTTGTAAAGCAGCAAGAGCCCAACCATTTGGCCTCCCTCCATAACTGAAAGATTTAATTTCACTCAATTTTGTGTCTTCAGAATTATTTTTGTAGCACTGTAACTGCAAGTGCTAGCAACAAAATTAGATGTCTTTTTAAAAAGAGCTCAGATGAAAAAGGTCTTGAGGGGGAGAAAAGGAATAGGAAAAGACCGCTCAGTGATTTGCCCTTTCCAAGAGAATACAGACTCAGCCACAAAGATCACTGCATAGAAACAATATATTTCAGTTCTACTTGGCCAGAATAATTTCTGAAGTCCTGGAGGTGCAATTCTTACACACAAGAACCTCACTTAGTCCCCATTTAGCTGGGGGTTCATGGACTGAAAGAATACAGATAGGGGAAGGAGGTAATCTCACACTCTTGTGCGTCAAATTCCCTCTTCCCAGCGCCCCCAGTTTGGGGGAGTGCAGGAAACACCCCCAGAGCAGCTTTTGCCATGCCCAGGCAGGCAGCCCTGGCAGCAGTGGCCCATCCAGGGGGTGCAGGGTGATGCTCCCAGCCCCTACTCACGTTGACGAACTCCTTGCCGTTGTGCTTGACGCGGATCCGGGGCTCCTGGATCACGTCCAGGTTGGAGCCAGTGACAGTCAGGGGCGTGTGTCCGCTGTGGGAAGCCAGGAGAGGCTGATCAGGGCTGGGCTGGGCACACAGCCTGGCCCCCAGAGACAAGATGCCAGGATGAGTACAGCCCAGGGCTTTCAGCAGTGTCCCCGTGATGTGACACCCTGTCCCTCACACTGCCTCTTGATCAACATCAGCTTTTTCCTTTCTTGGTGGCTGCTGGTTTCGTGGTGCTCCAGGACCACAAGAAGGAGCCTTTAACGAGCAGTTGTGCCCTTCTGCAGCAGAGGAGGTGGTCTGGGCTTTGGTTGAGCCCCCAGACTCTGGTGCAGGGTTTGCTGTCGCTGCCTGGCTGAACACAACCCCCCTGGTAACCCCAGGCCCGAGCTGTGCTAAATGCAAACCCCAGAAACGCCCAGCCCTGAGCCATTCAGGATGCTGGGTGGGATGTGCATTCCCAAACAGCCCCATTTTTGGCCGGGGTGTGTGCTGAGGAGCCCCAGGGCAGGGAGAGCCAAGGAGGTGCTGCCAGAGCCATTACCTGGCGATGCTCCACTCGGGCTCGATGTGCTGCACCTTGGGGTCGTCGATGTACTCAAACAGCAAAGTTCTCTCCAGCTGAGCCCTGTCCACGCTGACAGAGACCTGAACAGCCCCCAGGCCGTGGGCTGAGGGCGCTGACACGCAAACGATCTCGTTCATGGATCGCCTGCACGGGAGGGAAACGGGCAGGGTTAATGGAGGGCAGGACACGGCCTTGGTCCTGTCCTGGGGCAGCTCATGCAGGGCTGAGCCTGCAGCCAGCCCCAGACTGCTACCTGGGAAGCTGCTGAGGTGGGCAGGAGGGTTTGGCACGGAAGGAAAGGTGAGGAGCCCTGCCCCGAGCTCTGCCCACGGCGAGAGCAGCGCAGCCCCCCTGAAATCCCTCTCCGTGCCAAGCTGCACCCCCTGAACCCGCTGCCGTCTGCTGGGCGTGTGGAAACAGATGGCTGCCTTTTAAATGGGATGCATGAGCTCAGTGAAAAGCCAAATTCTTCCCCTCGCCAGCCCGGTGCACACACGAGGCTCTTGTGAGCGGCACAATGAGCAGCCCCTGCCTGGGAAGGGCCGTGGCACCGGCAGCGCTGCCCCGGCTTTGTGTCCCTCAGAGCGGGGTGACCTCGGCTCGGCGCTGCCTGGCTGGACACAACAGACCATCTGCTGCCACCAGAGCCCCAGAGAAGGTGGAGGCAGCGGCAGCGAGGCGCTGCCAGAGCACAAAGGCGCCGGTGGGCGGAGGGATGGAGAAGGGGAATGAGATCTGAGCATCCAGAACAGAGCTGGGAGGGACAACACGGTTCAGAGGGCACTGATCCTGCAAAAAGTGCTGGAGGCACATTCCTGGCAGGCCAGTGCTCCTGCACGGCCACCTCTGGCTGTCCTTCCTGCCCAAACCTACCCTGGCTCACTGGAAAGTCAGTGTTCTTTCTGTGGCCCTTTTGGTTTTGGGTTCCCCAAAGGGCAGAGGGCAGGCAGGTCTGCAGCACCTCACTGCCAGTCTGGTACTTAAATCAAAACCTGGCACTCCTGAATGGGCAACCTTCACCACCCTCACCATCCTCAGGGGCTTGTGGAGGTGCCTGGGGGGCTGAGGCTCGAGTGCAGCCGTGTCCCTGCTCTGCTTCCAGCAAAGCTCTGAGCCTGTGCCTGCCAGGGGGACAATGGGGTCCCTTCTCGGGGTCCTTACACACTCCCTGCCCTCCCTAAGGAGTGTGAGGGCATGGAACAGCAGGCACCACAACGTTCCCAGCTCACACCTTGGCCCTTCCACGCCCCACATCCGAGGGGACGGAGACAGCCCCCTGGAACACCTCAAACCAACTGCAGCATTGCTGTGGATGCAATAACACAGCCACCCCTTCTGCTCCTTTCCCTATCCTCACTTGGTTTCATCACATCCACCTCGGTTCAATTCAGCCACAAAGGCTTCCTTGTGTGAGGAGGGGGATTCTCCAGGCTGAGTCCCAGAGTGATTCCGTGCAGCCTGCGGGTTCCTGCCCTGCTGCTGCCCACCCCGTGCCTGCCCAGCCCTGGCACGAGCCCGGAGCGAGGCAGGGCTGCCGGCAGAGCAGCTCCCGGCTCCCTGTGATCAGCTAATTAGCTTTCTGTGCTATTATTGTGTCGTCATGGTGAATCTACCCACTCCTCCGATCACAGAGGGGAGAATGGGGGAAGCTGTAATTAGAGGGAATCTCATTAGGACCTGCTTCATCTCATCAGGCTCCCCCACGCCCTGGAGCACAATTGGAGTTCGTTGGCTCAGCACAGTCCGAGGCAAACCCAGAGCACAGCGTGGCCCCAGAGAGGGATGGGGCACCCAGGCACTGCTGCCTGGCTGAAGTTTCTGTCCTGCTGCCACCAAAACACCCAGAAAATCCAAAATTCCCCCCAGGTTTTGCAGGCCAGCAGCTGCAGGTTGCCTGGATAGGATCAGGTGTTTAAGGGATGATATTCCAGGGCTGACCTTGTGCCTCTGCTGTTCCCTGTCTCCATCTCAGGGAGAAATTTGGCATCTTTGTTTGGGACGTGGGAGGAAATACTGATGGGTTGGTTACACTGCTTAACACCTGCAGGGCTGAGCTGCACTGGAAGGTTCTGGAATGCCCTGAGCACCATCCTGGGATGGATTCAGAGCAAGCCCTGCTGATAACCCAACGTGCTCCCACATCTGAGCACCCACAGCTCCCACATCCAGGAGCCCCTCAGGCTTTTGGATCAGAAATTCACCTCCAGGGATCTTTGCTTTCCCTGAAACTTCCTCAGCTCCTCCTGGGCAGGCTGAGCGAGGATATGGGAGGCAGAATCCCTTTGGATACCAGGCTGCCACCCAAGCTGTACCCACTGCCAGCAGGGTGGGCAGGGCTGTGTACTGATACACACAGATGTAAACCTCACGTCTCTTTTTTAACTAAGCCCCAGAAAAACCCATTAAACCCTGCAAATGTCAACTCTGTGTTTACACTGCTGGGGAAAAAGCAAATTTGCCATCAAAATCCCAGCAGAGATTGATGGCTCTGCAAGTTCCTCAGCAGGAGGTGTGAGCAGACCCTCGCCTTGCTCTGCCCTGAGGATCCCAGATCATTTTTAGGAGGTCGAGGCACCTGCAGCAGTGGCTACAATAAAAGCAATGCAGGTCTGTGAAGAGAAAGGAGGTATTTCATATAAATGTTCCATTTGCTTCAGAGCAGCCAGGCTGGGGCAGGTACTAGTGACCAACATAAGCATATTTCCATCCCAGTGGTGTTTCACTGTGATTTTCAGAGCAGTTACCACTGGAACAGCATTAAAATGAAATAATGAACAGCACTGACACCGATGAATCCCTCCCTTGCCAGCAAGCCTCCATCACAATAAAAGAGAAGATGGTTTCATGCAATGAAAGAGGCAACGGGAGCCTTAGGGGCTCCCAGATGGATTTTTGCACGTTCAGCTCCAGCAGATCCGTGCTGGGATGGGAGCAGGAGGTGCTGCAGGAGCCTGTGCTGGTCTCTTACTCGAGGAATTCGCAGGTCTGGTTCCCCAGGAGCACGGACACGCGGCTGCCAGCCCCGAGGTAGTGGCCAGAGATGGTCACCATGGTCCCTCCCGACTCCGGGCCACGGCTGGGGCTCAGGAAACTCACAGCTGGGGTCTGCAGGAAGGAAAGGACAGCTCAGTGCCCCTGCTGCAGCCAGGGAGCTGCTGTGGTGTGGGACAGGGCAGGACATCCCTGGGTGTGCCCAAGGCCAGGCTGGACAGGGCTTGGAGCAGCCTGGGACAGTGGAAGGTGTCCTGCCCATGGCAGGGGTGGGACAGGGTCTTTGAGGGTCCCTTCCACCCCAAACCAATCTGTGATTCCATAATCTCTGCTCTGGGGGTGCAGAGCTGTGGGAGCCCTGCTTTATCCACAGGGTGAGCTCTTGGTCCTGCAAGCTGCGCTTGTTGAGTGGGCCACCAAAAACTGAGCAACACCAGGGGGAAAGCCCCAGAAAAAAAAACAAAACAAACCAGAAACAGCAATTCCAGGGCTGTGCTCTGGAGCCAAAGCCCCTCGGTGTGCCAGGCTCAGCTGCTGGGCACACACGTGCTGTCCCCAGCAGGACACTCACCACGAACATGTACTGCTGCGCTGACTTGGCCGTGAACTCGGGCTTGCACTCCCCGATGCACAGGAGCACTGGGCCGGAGCTGATCCCTGGAAGCGCCTGCCCCATTTCACAGACGATCCTGGAAGTGCAAACGCCACAGGGGAGCTTTGGCAGGAGGTGCCAGCAGTGCCCTGCACAGCTCCACGCTGCCTTTATTTCTCCTTTCTCCCCCCGTCTTTAACTTTGATATCTGCCTCTTTGGAAGAAGTTAATTACTGAGTCTATTTTTACCCCGTGTAGTAATTTAAAGGGAAAAAAAAAATCAAAATTAGACATAATTATTACAAGCTGTAAACTCCAGAGCAAAGCAGAGCACTAATGGCAATATATTAGCCAGTAGCAAAGTGAGTGCAAAGTCCTCAGAGTAACAGATGAGTTCATTAAGGGAACAGCTCACACTGCAGACTCCCAGTTAATCAAAACTGGAGAAACCTGCTGGGGGATGATAGAGACAGCCCTGGAGAGCAGCTTCTGCTGGGGGACAGGCTGGATGCCACAAACGCACTCGTGGTGGTCACAAAGCTTGTCCTGGTGTGGTCCAGCTCAGCCCCGTGGGCACAGCCTGAGCCTGGGAAAGCTGCAGGGCCAGGCAGAGCTGCTGGGGCTAACCATGGCTGATCACTGTGGATGAATAACCCCCAAATCCCAGGGCACGGGGGATGTGTGACACCAGCTGGGGATGGGATCAAGTGGATGCCAGTCATGCCAGCAGGTCTGGGGGAGGTTTGCAGAGGGGCATCAGCTGGCAGGGCTCTCCAGATGGACCTGGATGCTGCTTGCTGCCACAGCAATGCTGGGAAAATAAATCCGAGAGCATCCCTGCAGGCTCTGGGAAGCTGAGGGTGGGAGGAACCTGCCCCAGAGATCTGGAAATCTGAGAGGGGGGTTGGAGATGGGTAATTGGCCTCAGGGAGGAAAAGCTGACTGTGGGAGTGACCTGCCTGAGGCAGGAGAGGCAGTTCCACCTGTGGGGATCTGACCGTGGGAGTGGGACCAGAGAAGAGCCAGAGCAGCCTGTGCCTGCTGAGCTGAAGGAGAAGGAAGCTCTCACTCCTCTGCCCATCACACACAAAGACATAAAAGGCCCCAGTTTGGAGAGGCAGCCTTCGAGCTGCCCTCAGCAGCGTTAAACTCACTGCAAATAAAAAATAAAATAAAATAAAATAAAATAAACCACGAAGACTGAAGGAAAAAAGAAGCTGCTGCGCACAGGTGATGCCAGGAGGCCCGATGAAATACACACATGCTGGTAAAGAGCTGGAGCGTGCACGTCCTCGTAGCTGCACATCAAAAGGGGTTGCCTGGAGAGAGCTGCCTTTGGAGAGCAGGGATTGAAGCGTCTCAGCTCCCAGCCTTCCTCTGCCACGCTCCTCGCTCTGCCTTTCAAGCAGACATCGCCCCTGCACCTCTCTGCCTGCTATTCCTTCACCTCTCCCTCCTCCTCCTCCTGCAGACTGGCAGCGGGGAGAGGAGGTCACTCTGAGCTTGGGGCCACAAACAAAGCCTGGGGGGTGATTCCTGGCACCCCAAGGGCAGCAGGGGAGAGGGGAGGTTGTCTCTGCAGCAAGGAAACACCAAATACTCAACTGTGCCAGCAGAGCAGGAGCTGCAGCACAGCCCGGGCAGGGACGGGCGTGGGACAGGGAGAGGTGACCGGGTACACCTGGCCCCGGGTCCTGCTCACAGCCAAACCCCCAGCAGGTACCTTGTTACAGAATGATGCATTCGGCAGAGCTGTAGGGTGCTGATTGCCGGGCTAAGTGGCCCTTTCACCAACATTAACCTAATTGCTGGCTGATAGATTGCGGGGCTGGAGCATATGGCAGAGTCATTACAGTCTTGGAATTCAGTCTGCCCACAGAACCCTTAAGAGGGTCCTTTTATCTGTATTCATCTTTAAAAGGCAGCTCTCATGCTAACGCTTGCTGTTATCTGCCCAGGGTAAATGTTTTAATGATGTTAACAAACTTTGAAAGCTCAAGAGCCGTAATTAGAGTCATGATTATAAAATCAGGGTTTCGTACCATCAAAGGGGGATAATTTCATAATCTTCCATCCTTTATTTGAAAAATAAAATATAACAACGTACTGCTCAGCAGAACAGCCCCAACTGCTCGTAGTGATGGGGTATTGATGCTGTGCTTGGAGCCATTCCTGCAGCAGCCCCAGGCACCCTTCACCCCCTGATCCCAAATTCCCTGGGAATCTGCACTGCTCCAGAGGGGTCAGCAATGCCCCTGCTGCCTTACAGGTGGGAAAGAAACACCAGGAATGGACAAAACCCAACCAACACCACCACGTGCTGCTGGTGACAGGTCCTTGCACTGTGCTGGGCTCTGAGTGGGAGCCACCAAATGCATTTCCCAGCAGAGGACAACTCCTTCCAGCTGCTCCCGAAGCTGGGGCAGGATTTGTGCTGCTGGGACCACCCATGGGACCTTGGCCAGCTCCTACTGCACGGGACACCATCCTGGTCCCCAGCAGGAGATGACACAACCCAAGGGGAGACATTTCTCCCATCCTCCCGTCCTATTTCTCCTGTCCCACCCAGCACAAACGTCCCCCAACACCCCCTGAGCACCCCCAGCACCGCCCCGAGGGGCAGCAGAGGAGCGGGTGCCACGCCCTGGGGTTTTTTTTCCTCCCGTCCCCTGCTCCAGGCCTGTTTTCTAATTTTGGGCTGACGTTTTTCTTAGTGAAACAAATGGACTGACTCCGGTGGAGCCCACTCGGAGCGCGGGGCTGTCACCGCCTCGCCTGCCTAACAAATGGCTGCTGCAGCCGGCGGCGCCGGCGGAATTCCAAGTGGGATGGGGAGGCAGCAGCAGCAAGGTGCTCATCAGCAAAGGTGCTTAGCCAAGCAGGAACCGCGGGCGTGCAAGGAAACAACATTTACTGAATGCTTGAAGGGCTGCTTAACCCCTGCAGAGAGAGTCCAGCGTGCGGGAATGTGCAGGGGTCCCTTCCCATGCCCACCTCCACAGCCCTTCCTGCAGGTGCCCAGGCTCTGGGTGAGGTTTTGGCGAGTTTTTGGTGAGTTTTTGGCCTCCCTGAGCGTTGGCTGGAGGTCAGGGAGGAGCTCTGTGGGGTGCCCAGCCCTGGGGACAGCTGAGGGGACACTCACTGCTCGGCCACGATGTAGTGCTCGGGCAGGGGCGTGCACTGCACCCCGGCCACCTGCACGCCCTGCGCGATCTCCGAGAAGTCCAGGCCCAGGTTCACGCCTCGGATTGTCACCCTGGTTCCTCCTTCCGGGGGCCCTGACACCGTCAGGATCTGCAGGGAGACAGGAGGACACAGGGAAGGTGAGGTGACATCCCCAGCATGCCCCTTCTCCAGCCCCATCCCCGGTTTGGGACCGCTGCTCCTGCTGCCACAGCAGCCAGGGCCACCCCTCGTGGCTCCTCTGGATGTCCTGGAGGAGCCCAAGGATGCTGAAATCCGTCTGTGCCCTGCTCCAAGAGAGGACTCCAAGGTCCCTGAGCTGGCCAAGAAGAGTGGGCAGTGCCATTCCCGGAAATCCCTGCAGAAGGATACACCTGGCTCCTACCTTCTCCATCCAGAACAGGGTAAGTCACCTTCCAGAAGCAGCCTGGTGCTTGGAGAACTTTACCTTCTGCCTTGGCTCTTCTCTGAATGTTAATGTCACATTTTATTAGTGACTTGGCACCTCAAATGACTTAAAAATGTTAAAGGGTGAGGTGTGTGCTTTCAGGCTGCCTGTTTATAGCCTGCCTCAGCCATAATCATCCCTGCTTCCCTGGACTTGCATTAAGGACAATCTCCTCTTCAATTAGGAGTATAAATTTCAATAATGCATGGTCACAAAATTTGGACCCAGGACTCTCAGACAGTTATCCTGAATCTGCCATCGCTCTGTTGTTGCTCTTGGGTGAGTTTCCAATCTTCCCTGTGCTGCAGCTGTTATTAATAAATAAACACAATCCATAATAATGCAATTTAATTAATTTAATGGATAAATCTTGTTTATGCTTCTTTGTTCCACCCTTGTCTTTGGCAAAAAACTTGAGCTCTTCAGAACCTTTTCCTTGCTGTTTCCAGATGGATGGGGGTTTTTTTCCACCTCCTCAGGATGAGGGAGGCCAAACACCAGTGCCACCATCCCAGTGACCTGCCCCACAGCAGCCCTCGTGGGACACCCCTGTCCCCATCCCTTCTGTGCTTTAGTGACCTGCCCCTCGTGGGACACCCCTGTCCCCATCCCTTCTGTGCTTCCCAAGCATCTCCAAAAAGACATCCAAGGTCTTCAAGAAGGAATCCCACCATCTCCTCTAAACCAATGGCCACATCCACTTGGTTTTTGAGCACTGCTAGGGTGACTCCAGCACTTCCCTGGGCATTCTGCCCCAGTTTTGGCCACACGTGCTGAGGTTATTCCAGCTCCATGCCCCCACCAGAGCCACCAAGCCACCCCCTCCTTCCTCCACATCCTTTAATTCCCACCTCCCTCTCCCCTCCACTGCCTGCTGGAGGTTTTTAATTTATTCACCACGCACTGCCTGTTGTGCTGCTGTTCCCTGTAACTCACACCATGGCCTGTCTTGTATCATTTAGCTCTGGGAAGCTCGACGTGCTCATAAACCCACTACAAAACCAAGCTGGATTGTGTTACACCGAGTCCTGGAGGCCTGGGAGTGTTTGCATCACTGGTGGGGAATCACCTGAACTTGGCTGACAGTTACAACTGTCCTTTGCAGCTCTGGATGATGTTAAAATCCATTTACTGGGGCACTTACTCCGCTGTCTCGTTGTCTCATCACTGCTCAAGAAAAAGAAGTCACTGCTTGCCATTCCCTGACCTGAGCAGAAGCAGCGGGGCCGAGCGGCCTCCCCGAACAAAGCCCAGCTGATGCTGTATTTTAAAAATGTCCTGACCTGGAAAATCCCCAATATGGAGCTCCACTCGACCTAGATTTTAGTGGGCACTAATTGAACAGTTTTGAAGTAACTGTGCCATAAAGCAGCCCCAGGGTTAGAACAGATGCATTCAATTAATTACAGCTGGAGAGATTCAGTCAAAATCGCAGAAAGAAGATAAGTCTTAAAGGTCCCGGTGCACCCAGAGCTGGGGACCCTGCGAGCATCCTGGGCTGCTCGTTGGGGTGAGCATGAGGCACCTCCAGCACAGCCAGCCTCTGGTCTGCCTTGATCCCAGCTGGGTGTGCTGGGAGCTGCAGGGCTGCCAGTCCACATCTCTGATCTGAGACAGACAGGATTAGCAAGAAATATTCCCCAGTTTAAAGAAAATCACTTCACCAGACTGGCTTTTTGCTTAGAGCTCTGTGGAGGATGAAAAGGACCTGCAAAGGACAGCTGAGAAAGAGCAGGGCCATTCCAGGAGTTGGACCTTTGCTGTTTAGGAATCTGCACCTCTGCTGGAAGCTTTTCAGGTTGTTTGCTAAACTGAAGCAGCTTGAAAGTCACTGAGATCTGAGCGGGGTGTGGGAGGCAGAATTATTCTGAGCAGGTCACCCCTTCCCACTGCAGAGACAAATCCCACCCCAGCCCCTGTAACCATGCTGGACAGGACTGATCAGGTGTGCAGCCCTGTGTTAGTCATGAAACGGGCTGGGGACAGGGATGAGGGGGTGCCAGGAGCTCGGTCACCCTCACACCCTGCCCTGGGTCAGGGAAGGGCTGCAGGTGCTCCAGGGCACTTCTCTTATTGCTGCTTTTTACCTGGAACCAAGGTAGGGACCCCCAAGGCTGGAACCCAAGAGATCCCCCAAGGCTGGAGTCCAAGAGACCCCCAAGGTTGGGATCCAAGGGATCCCCAAGCTTGGAACCCAAGGGGCCCTCAAGGTTGGGATCTAAGGGACTCCCAAGGTTGGGACCCAAGGGATCCCCAAGGTTGGAATCCAAGAGATCCTGCAAGGCTGGAATCCAAAGGACCCCCAAGGTTGGGATCCAAGGGATCCCCAAGGTTGGAATCCAAGAGATCCTGCAAGGCTGGAATCCAAAGGACCCCCAAGGCTAGAGTCCAAGGGACTTCCAAGGATGGAACCCAAGGGACTCCCAAGGTTGGGATCCAAGGGATCCCCCAGGCTGGGATCCAAGGGTCCCAGGGATCCAGGAGCCCCAGCCCAGTGCCAGAGCCCTGCCCCTCGCAGCCTGCAGGGGACACGGCTCCAGCAACGAGGGATAAATGTTCTCAGTGTCATGTCTTGCTGCTCGAATCTTTCAGCCTTTCTGACATGAAGCAACATTTTGCCTGCAGAAGAAGTCAGTGAGGAGCCGGGGAGAGCAGGAGCCGCGGCTGGCTGGAGCTGCTGGGGCTTTCCCTGCGGAGCTGCAAGCCCTTGGCATCTGCTGGGGTGCAGAGAGAGCACCCAATCAACGGCACAGCCCCTGCCCCCTCCCCAAACCCATCCACCTCCATCCTCTTTGTGCTTTTTTTGCTCCTGCTCTGAGCCCTGGATCCCAGCTGATGAGCCCAGCGGGAAGCAGCACATGAGCGTTGTCATCCCGGCATGATCCCTCCTTGTCTCTGCCTCAGCTGATGGCACATTCAGAACCTAATTGTTATCTCAGCAGAGCAACTCCATTATTCAGCCTGACACTGCCCCCCCTTCAGCTGTTTGTTGCACTGATGTTATATTAATGAGGCCTGCAAATAAATGAATAGGAGATCAGAGTGCCGCTTGTTCGCCAGAAAAGGGATTTTTATTTATTTATTGCTAAGGCCACAGACCGGGTGGAAGTTTTAAGCTGCTGAGGGGACATTTCTGGGGAGGGCTGGACCTCTCACTCAGTGAGAGGACTGCAAATACCCCTCTGCTCATTTACTTTTAGAACTATTAAGGCACAATCTCCTTATTTATGCATCCCCCGAAGGCACTGGCGCCTGGGAGCCAGGCCCTTGACCTCAGGCTTGTCACAAAGAGTGAACCTGGCCAGATGAAGCAAAAGGAGTGGAAACCAGCCCATATTAAAGGCTCTTTTACTCTGGGTAATCCAGGCTGCAATGTGAGCTCTAGTATGAGAGCAAATCCTGCTCCCCACTCCTGTCACTGCTGGTGCCCAAGGGATGGGGGACGTGGCACCAGTGCCAGCTCTGGACCTGCCAGGGCCAGCTCAGTCCCAGCAGGGCAGGGTGTCCTCCCAGCTGTACAGCTCTGCAGCACTGGACAAGGCAAAATGTTACCCAAAATCCTGAGAAAACTCAGATGTTGGGAAAGGACCCAACAGCAACGAATGCTGGGAAGGTCTCATGGTCTCCTCCACACTCTCACACTGAGGGCTGAGATGGAGTCAAGAAATCTGTCACAGCAGAGCTCTGCTCTTTTCTGCTTGGACAGAGCCCAAAAGTATTGCTTTCAAGTTGGACAGTGATAAAACACTTGGTGGCAGTGCCCTGCCTGCAGCCAGCTGCCAGAGCCAGCCTGGCACTGCTCACATGCAAGTCGCTGCAGCACAGTGCTTTTCCCCTTCTCTGCCCAGCTCAAGGAGGGGCAGATAAATAATTCCAAGATTTCTTTGACTTGACAACTTTCTGCGTGGTTTATGGGGAAGCAAATCTCACTAGAGGCTGTTTTGCTTCCTGTGGCATAACCTTGTGCAGCAGAACAGCACTTGGGCAAGAGAAATTTGGGTTCTGCCCAGTGGCAGGGCAAGGGGAAGGTCCAGGGGAGCCTTTAAGGATCATTTTATCTCTTGGTAGCACAACTAGGAGTTGGAAAACAAAGAGACCAACCAAGCAGGGAAAGGACAGTCTTCCAATCCTTTTTAGTGCTTTCCCATCCCTGCACAACCAGCCGCCAGCTCCACTCTGCCCTGCACAAAACACTGCACAAGAGAAAAACCTGCACGAGAGAAAAACCTGCACGATAGAAACACCTGCATGATAGAAACACCTGCATGAGAGAAACACCTGCATGAGAGAAAAACCTGCATGAGAGAAACACCTGCACGAGAGAAATACCTGCATGAGAGAAACACCTGCACAAGAGAAAAACCTGCACAAGAGAAACACCTGCCCAGCAAAGGTGGTAACACTGCTGGCAGAAGGCCTAAGAAATACCAGAAGTCTGGTAACATCCTTGAGGATGGATGGATGGATGGAGGGATGGATGATGGATGGATGGATGGATGGATGGATGGATGGATGGATGGATGGACCCTCCTCAGCAACATTGTTCTCTGCCAGCCCCACCCAGCCCTGATACAGCAGCTGCTTCCTTCCTCTCCTCCATAAAGGAGGTTGATGCCTCTCTCCCACGGGATCTGAGCCAGTTTAGTTAAACCAGTGTAGAAACTAATTTAATTTCAGAAGAGACTTCCACACTCACTTGGGTTCTGATCCAGCTGGCAGATTTTGGGTGCTGAGCAGCACTGCCAGCAGCACTGGTGTAACAGACAACTCTGATCCTACTGTGTTACACCTTTTGCAGTGTGGATGCACACCCAGGGCAAGGGAGGCGTTTTTGGGGGATTTAATTAACTGAGAAATCCAAACCTTCCTTCATTCCCACCTGACAGGAGTGTCACTCCTCATAGCAGCGTTAACAGAGCGAGTGCAGTTTCACTGCTGAAAATGCTCCTGGGACACATTTTGCATCCCTCAGTGGGCTGAACAGAAATATCAGAACCACCAACTCCAGACTAATTAGCTCCCTGGTTTAATTAGCATTCCCGCTGCAGTCTGTGGCGGTCACTGCAGTGTGGGCGGGGCAGAGGCTGCACACTAAAACTGTCCCAGAAAGTTCCAGAGTGTTTTACCTGTGTTTCTCAGGGCTGGGCAGATTTTGGGACAGCACAGGGGGAGTGTGATAATCACATATCCTCCAAACAGAGAGAGACACAGACTTTCCCAGGATTTTCCTGGGGAAAGCTGTGAGAAAGCTCCGAGAGAGAATTAAAACAATTCTTACCTGCGTGTGCTGCGCCTGTTGTTGCGCACATGAGGAATGTGTTATGGGGATTGTTTACAAAAAGGGATTTCCTGACTGGGCTCTGGTGGTGGTGTTTTGATTCATTGACCAATTGGATCCACATGTGGCTGGCAGGGGCTATGGGTTTTTTTTGGTGGTAGTGTAGAACAGTGCAGTGGTAGTTGTATAATAGTGTATAGTATAGCAGTCTCAAGCTACATCGGGGAAGGTACAGGTTGGATACTAGCAAGAAATTTTTCATTGAAAGAGTAATAAAGCACTGGAATGCTATTCCCAGGGAGGCAGTAGAATCACCATCTCTGGATGTGTTTAAAAAACCACTGGACATGGCACTTGGTGCTCTAGCCTAGTTGAGGTGTTAGGGCATGGGTTGGACTCGATGATCTTAGAGGTCTCTTCCAACCTCATTATTCTGTGATTCAGTGATTCAGTGATTCTGGGATTCAGTGATTCTGGGATTCAGTGATTCTGGGATTCAGTGTTCAGTGACTGTGTGTAGTATATATGTATATATATACATATATATGTAGTATATATGACAGTGTACAGTACAGTAGTATAACACAGTGTAGTGCAGCAGTGTAATACAGTATCCTATGACAGAATAAAGCACCTGATCAGCCTTCTGCCACCACGGAGTCAATGCCATGCCAGTTATTCCCTTTCAGGAGCTCGCTGCCGCAGCAGGGCGGGGCGGGCTGGGCTCACCTCGGTGATGCGCGGGTTGGAGCACTTGACGTTGTGGCTGGACCAGTCGAGCCAGGGCAGGGCGCCGGGGGAGCCGCAGTGGGGCCGCAGGGTGCACTTGGCCTCGCCGCTGCACCAGCCGCACTCGAACTTGGGGTCGGCCTTGAGGCACAGCCCGCAGCTCTCGCGCTGCGCCGCGCACTTGTACAGGTGCACTGCGGGACACGGACGGGGCATCAGCCGGGGAGGGGCTCCTCGGGGGCAGCCGGGGCTGGGGGATTCCCTCGGGGTGCAGACGGGACTGGGGGATTCCCTCAGGGTGCAGCTGGGACTGGGGGATTAACTCGGGGTGCAGCTGGGACTGGGGGTGCAGCTGGGATTGGGAGATTCACCCAGGGTGCAGCCAGAGCTGGGGGATTCCCTCGGGGTGCAGCTGGGACTGGGGGTGCAGCTGGGATTGGGGGATTCACCCAGGGTGCAGCCAGGGCTGGGGGTGCAGCTGGGGCTGGGGGGTTAACTTGGGGTGCAGCTGGGATTCAAGGTATTCCCTTGGGGCACAGCTGGGATTGGGGGATTCCCTTGGGGTAGAGATGGGATTGGGGGATTCCCTTGGGGTAGAGATGGGATTGGGGGATTCCCTTGGGGTAGAGATGGGATTGGGGTATTCACTTGGGGTACAGCTGGCAGCTGGGACTGGGGGATTAACTTGGGGTGCAGCTGGGATTGGGGGATTCACCTGGGGTGCAGCCAGGGTTGGGGGTGCAGCTGGGACTGGGGGATTCCCTGGGGATACATCTGGGATTCAGAGATTCCCTTGGGGTACAGCTGGGATTGGGGGATTCCCTTGGGGTAGAGATGGGATTGGGGTATTCACTTGGGGTACAGCTGGGATTGGGGGATTCCTCAGGACACAGCTGCTCCTGGACTTGCCCAGTCCAGCACAAGCTCAGCTTTGTCTCCCCAAGCCGCAGGTGGATCCCAAATCCAAGGCTCAGCCAACCCAGGCTCAGCCTGAAGCCAGTTCAAGCAGATTTTACCTTTCAGGTTCTCCGGGTTGTCAATGACGAAGTTCCCGTTCCAAACCACGGCAAAGTCCACTGCCAGGTTGCTGATGTCCATCCCATCATAGAGGTACTGCAGGGTAAGATCCAGAGTGAATGCCTGGGGACACAACACTCCCAGACAAAGAGGGTTTTTTTGAGAGAAACCATCTTTATTTTCTGCTTAAAAACATCTGCTGGTGCCTCAGACACCACATTTTTACACTTCATCTCCAGGGTTCTGCTTTGAGTCCCTTCTCCTCATCAGGAGGAGATAATTAAATCAGATCTAGTCCTTGTGAGAGGTAACAGATTAATTATTCCACGTGCAGTGGTTGCTCTCATCACTCAGTCTGGCTTACCAACAGAGCCCCTCCAGTTAACCAGACTGGGACTGCTGCCTTCAGGCTGCTTCTTGCCCACTTTGTGCACCCCAGTGGGACTGGGAGCCCCAAAACCCCACTGCAGAGCTTTGCAGGTGGAACAGGAAACAGCTGAGCAAAAATAGATGGTGCAGAGCCCCAGCCACTGCCTCAGCCTGCTCCAGGATAGCACTGGCCTGAATTATTTTCCTTTTTATGACATCCTGGGGGCCGTGGCTGAGTGAGGCTGGATGCTGCAGCTGAATTCCCAGTGAATGCTGGAATTCCCATTATCACCCCCAGCACTGGCCAGGCCTCACTCTGCTGCTCTCTTTAGGTCAACCAAGAGCTGCTAAAAAGACTTCAGAAGGTGAGTGAGCATTGCCATCCTCTCTGGGAGGAGGGAGTGGTGATTAAAGCAGGGCAGAGTGCTCTGCCTGTCCCTGGGCAGGAGCTGTGCAGTTTTAACTCATGTTTGACTGTACTGGTTCACCCTGCCTGGTTTTAATTAAGCTGGTGTGGAACAAGAAGCTGTGAGTGCAGAATGGCCCTCACGTCCTCCCCCTACCACTTCCTATCAGCCCAACAGCAATAAAAGTGCTTCTCTAATGCTTATAAATCACTCTGGATAGGAAAAGTACTATGTACTATTAATACATTTATTATCCACCAAGCTGCAAGGCCTGAAGACGGCCAGCGATGTATAAATATCCAGCGAAACTTTTAAAAATTCAAAACTTCATTAACAATTTAAGGCCATCTGCACTGAATATTCAAGTGGACCCTGTTGTGCTGCCTAAAACAAACTGACTGTGCCCTTTTTGCCCAGGGCCCTTTTCGAGCACATGGTGAGCAGAGGAAGGGCCACCCTTGTCCCTGCTCGTCCCCCGGCTGTGCAGGGACACTGCAGACCCAAATTCGGATCAGGGCGGGCGTGCCTGCATGTGCCACTCGTGTTTTGGCATCCCAGCAGGGTGGTTTTGGGGTGCCCATGGCGAGGCTGAGCCCTGTCCTGTGGAGGGGATTACCCTGCCCTGCTCCTGTCAGCATCACCCAGTGATTCCCTGCTCTGCTCTCTCCCCTGGCACTTTCCCTCTCCCCCTCCTTCCCTGCTCTCCAGCACCGCTCTATTCATCCAGCCACCGTGACCTGGGATTTGACAGCTCCCCGATAAGGGGTCTGTGATTCTCCTTATCTCCCCGTGTGTGAATTAGCCTGCCTTAACACCTCCTGCATTCCCTCCTCCTCCTCCTCCCCTTGCTGACCCCCCACCAGCAGCCAGGGCACTCCAGACGCGGCATCTCCTCCCCGCGGGCATTTTCCCACCTGGAACCCAGGATTAAAGAGATTTTCCACCCTCCCCAGCGGCTGCTGGGGGCTGCCCAGCGCTGCTCTCACCGAGCTGTTCTGGCACTGCACGCTGGAGCTGTTGAAGCGCAGGGCGGGCACCCTGTGCACGATGCCCTGGATGCTGAGCACGCACTCGTAGCCCCTCTGGCCCGACTGGGGCTGCGGCAGGTTCCTGGCCTTCAGCGTGATGGGCTTCACCTCTCCCACCGGGATCAGGATCTCCTCCGTGGGGAACAGCTGGGGGCAGTCCTGGGAGGCAGGGGGAGAAGGTGGGAGGTCACGGCTGGGGGGTGATGCGTTAGGGTTTGAGCTTTTATGGGTTTTTTGTGTGGTTGTAATCATGCAGTGCTGCAAATCCTGCGAAATTTGGAGTGTGTGACTCCAAACACCACGCGCAGTGTGGGCTGCTGCTCTCCCGTTTTGGTCAGACACAGCAATTCCTCTGCAGGCCTGGGAAGCAAGGACACCTCAGTGTCTCAGGCCCCCAGAGATGTGAACAAAACCGTGACACCTCCCCATCCAAACCATCTGTGACTCTGTGAAACACCATGGCACAGATCTCCAGTTCACAGAATCACAGAATCACAGGATAATGAGGTTGGAAGAGACCTCTAAGATCACTGAGTCCAAGTCAAGTTTGCCCAAGCACAAACTGAATGTGTAAATGAAACCCTGAGATGGACCACAAAAAATGACTTTTCAGCTCCTGGTAACTGTGTGACATCCCTCCCCTGAGATCTCAACATCCCAAACATTATCTCTGCACAACACACAATTTTTTCTCCAATTTCTACACCAGGAACTGCAATACCTCTGACCATCAGCTGTATTTACATTCTGCTCAGCTCTAATTTGCTTTGATCTCATGGAACAAGGTACCTAAGTACCTGTAAGCACCTGACACTGAATGATTAATCCCCAGCTAAAGCAGGAGTTTAGAACAAACACGTCAGTCTCCCTCTGCCAAATCCCAGACTGGCATCCCAAGCCCTTTGCCCTCCAGCCTGGGGATGAAAGGAAATCTTGCTGATGGCAATGCCAGGCAGCCATCCTGCCCAGAATCCTGCGTGTCCAGGGGGAAAATCCCCCTCCCCAAGGCAGGCTCCCCCTGCAGCTCCCTGCCAGGGCCATGGGATGTGTTTCACCACTTTCAAGCGAGCTGTAAATGAGAAACAGATGCTCAGGTCTGGAGGAGCCACTAACTTAAACTGCAGCCTCGTAAACCTTTTTAGTGGCACTTTTCCGTATATATATTTTATTTTATTTCTAACAGGGACTTTCACGGATTAACAGCCAGGAGTGATTTCAAACTCCATCAGCTGTGCTGGGGAGGGAAGGGAGGCTCTTTCCTGCAGAGGAGCGGGTTCACAGGCTGGAAGGGAATGGCATTCCCTGCTTCCCACTGACCCTGGCACCGTGGATCCAGCCCCAGCTCACCACCAGCAAACTCCCTGGATTCACAGCGTTTCCCACCCAGCTCTTCCAAGCTGGCTCTGCACATTCCTTCCTCTCCTGAAGCACTGCTCACCTGTGCCACCTTCCACTCAACACCTGCCTGTAAGGTTTTGATTTCACCTCACAGTCCCATCGAGCTCCAGCAGAGCGGGGCCCAGCCCGGTGGAACGCCCGAGGGCTGGAAGGAAAAGCAACCCAGAGCTGCAGAATCCTTTACTCCATTACAACTGAAAACAAAAAAAAATCTCCACTTGCATCACCAGTGGGAGAACTTCAGTGCACAGTCCTGAAAATAATGAATGTGTTATGGACCATTATCCTTCCTGGCCAGCTCCATCCGTGAGGCGACTGCTAAGGAAAGGCTCCTGCCTTCCCAGGCACGGGAGGGACTCCATCCCCACATCTGCTCCCTGGTGCTGAAAATGCTGGCAGAAAAACTATTCTGCCATCATTAGTGGGGCAAAATAGATTTTTTTTTTCCCATTCCTTTGGTTCCAGTGGAAGGAAAATGTCACGTTGGGGTTGTGGGGAAAGCGAGGCAGGCGCAGGCTGAGGGCGGCCCCTCCGTGCTGGCTGACAGCTGCAGTGATCACACTAATAGGGGATCCACGTTTGGGGATGGGGAGATCTGTAGGAAGATGCCAGACTCCAGCAAAGCCAGGATGCTCGTGGGCAGCCACACTGCTGCGGGCAGTGGCTGCTGAATTTCTCAGCTGAGCGAGAGGAGCTGCGGAGGGCTCGGGTCAGCTCGGACCCTGCACGTCCCCTGGAGCCCCTGCGAGCCATTTCCAGCCCCAGGGAAAGCTCAGCTTTCAGGGATTTTCTTTTCACAATTTGCTTTTTAAATTGCAGCCTCAGTGATGTGCACCCACGGCCCTGCACAGCCACATTCCTGCACCCCAAATCCTGCACAGCCACATCCTTGCACACAAAATCCCTACACAGCCACATCCCTGCACCCTAAATCCTTGAAAATCCATGTCCCTGCACCTGAATCCCTGCACAGCCACATCCCTGCACCCCAAATCCCTGCACAACCACATCCCTGCACCCTAAATCCTGCACAGCCACATCCCTGCACCCTAAATCCCTGAAAATCCATGTCCCTGCACCTGAATCCCTCTACAGCCACATCCCTGCACCCCAAATCCTGCACAGCCACATTCCCCTGGGAAGGGGTTGGCAGCACCAGCCCTGCTGCTGGGCACAGCCACATCCCTGCACCCCAAATCCTGCACAGCCACATCCCTGCACCCCAAATCCTGCACAGCCACATCCTTGCACACAAAATCCCTACACAGCCACATCCCTGCACCCTAAATCCTTGAAAATCCATGTCCCTGCACCTGAATCCCTGCACAGCCACATCCCTGCACCCCAAATCCCTGCACAACCACATCCCTGCACCCTAAATCCTGCACAGCCACATCCCTGCACCCTAAATCCCTGAAAATCCATGTGCCTGCACAACCACATCCCTGCACCCCAAATCCTTGCCTCTGCACCCTAAATCCCTGAAAATCCATGTCCCTGCAGCTGAATCCCTCTACAGCCACATCCCTGCACCCCAAATCCTGCACAGCCACATTCCCCTGGGAAGGGGTTGGCAGCACCAGCCCTGCTGCTGGGCTGAGCTGTGCCTGTGGCCAAGGTCCCTGCTGATGTCCCTGCTGTGTCAGGCTCAGCCTGGGTGCTCCATCCTGGTTTCCTCCCCAGGAAGAGCGAGAAACACCCAGAAAACACCCAGAAAATACCGAGTAAAGGCGGTGGAATACACAGCTTGCTCCATAATCAGTTTACTTTGTTTTTTAATTCATGAGAGGTAAATCCTGCAGCGAGTTAGAAAGGCCATTATTGCCTCCTCTCTCTAAACAAACAGGCAGAATCCTCTCATTATCCTCCTTGACTTCCCTGCGCCAGAATAAACACGGATCAGATCTGCTGGAGGAAGACAAGGCTCCGATGCCTGAGTGGCACAGACTCTCGGGGAATATTCTGCCTGTGAAGTATCAGCACACACAATTTACAAAGACATTTTATGCTTCTCCAACACTTTTTAGCCTCAAAGACTCCAAGGTCTATAAATACCTTAAAGACCCGCGTTGTGCAGCTGTCTCTGGAGCAGAACAGAGCACCCATGGTTATTATTTGTGTTTAACCGAGCAGTTTTAGTAGGTCAAACCTCCTTGCTCTTATTTGGAAAAAAAAATTGCCTAGAAATGGCAGGCAATTCTTCTGACTACGGGATTTAGCCCAAATGGCAGAAAATAGACTGTTTCTGTACTTTTCATCTTCAAAAAACCCCCGCAAACTCTCCACAAATGTTAACTTGCTGCACGTTATTTGAAAGTTATAAACATAACCCAAACTGGCACGTGAATGTAAACCCCTGGCTCACAGTTGTGTTCCAAATGATATAAATTACAGTCCCTGTCACTCATGGAAACACATTATCCTTCATTTATGCCACTGGAAAGGAGAGCAGCCCCTGTTCCTTGGAAACCAGACATGAAAGGAAGGCAGCTGGAGCCCAGCCTGGTGAATTCCTTCCCCACACCATTAGCCCTGAGCTGGGGCACGTGCTGTAACCTGGGTCTTCTCCATCACTTTGGGAGGCAGGGGGATATTTACGGCCACGGAGGGAACCTTTCCCTCCTGTAAACAACCCTTTGTGTGCCAGAGGTGAGCCAGGAGCTGCACAGGGACGGGTTCCAGCAGGAACATCTCCCTCTGCTCCTGCAGCCCTTCCCTCCTGGCTCCTTCCCTCTGAGCGCCAAACATCCACAGCACGGGTGATAAAAGCACAGCCACGGCTCAGAGCTGAGGGAATTCTGCTGAAACCGGGCTTTTTGTTCCTATTTCAGGCAAAGGCATCTCCCCAAAGTCAGGTGTGACCCTGCAAAGTCATTGGCTGGCTTTGGTGGCCTGAGATGTGGCTCTGAGTCACCTCCAGCACATCTCAGCTCTGCGGGGATGGGGATTGGCAGGACGGGCTGGTTTGGTTTTGTTTCCTTCAAGGCACATCAAGCAGCACTCAGCACCCAAGGGCACAGCCAGGGGCAAGGGCGTTGCCACAAAATCAGTGGGAATTATTCAAAGGAGGCCCAAGGGCACTGAAATCCCCGAATCTGAAACTCTCTGTCCCCAGATCAGCGTCCCCCTGTGGAAATGGCATTATCAGCACATGCTGGACATCAAAGAGGGACGGGCTCTCACATTCTGGGGAGCTAAGAGGATTTATTTGGTTCTAGCTCTCCTCTGGGATGGGGTGGAAGGATGTTTATGAATCCACGTTCCTCCTCATCTGGAAGCTTCAGACATTTAGAGAGAGACATCATAAAACCTCACACACACACACAAACCAAACCACATCAGGCACATTAAAATGGCATCACTGGCTTGATCTGGGGTTTTGTAAAGTGGGACAATCAGTGCTCCACACCCAGGAGAAATCTCTTGGAGAAATCCTGATTTAGTGGGGACAAGGTCTGAGCAGGCACCTTCTGCTGACAGTGAAGACTCTGACCAGGAAAAGGATGGGAAAATAATTGCTTCTCTAATAATTAACTCCTAAAGAATTGGCTGCCTGGAAAGGGAGACCTCAGAGGAGTTGGGTTCCCCCATCTCAGAAATTCCCACGAGAGGGAGAACATCAGGAGCAGCCAGCTCTGTCCTGCAGGATCCCTCTGCTGTAAAGGCTGTGAAATATCTGTATTCAATGATCCCCAAACCACATTTCCACTTTTCCTAAAGCACCCACCCACCTCTGGGGCTCCCTCTGCACCCCCACATCTGTCCCTGGGCTCTGCCCTTGGATCTGAGCCAACAGTTCCTGTTGGAGGGCAGGACGAGGGATGAGAAGAGCTCCTGGGCTGTGTTTCCAGAGCAGGCAGGGCAGGAGGGCAGCACTCAGCTCGGGCAGTGGGGACAGAGCCTGGCAAGGAGCAAGAGCTCAGCTCATGGAGAGGGAATTTCTCTCCCCCAGATCCTCCTGAAGTGGCTGAGGCTTTGAGCCCTCGTTCCTCCTCCAGACAGACAACTCCTGGGAGCATCAAAGGGAGCTCGTTACACATCCAATCCCACGGGGACGCCAGCTCTGATGGGCCAGGAGTAAAAGGGAATATTCAAGATATTTTCCCTTGAATTAAATATAAAGATGCGAGCAAATTTGCAGGCCCGTGTGAACACGTGTGTAAACCTTACGTAAGGAGAGGCACAGGGGACTGAAAGTAGGGCACAGGCACGGAGATCCCCCGCTCCAAACACCACTGGCTCTGCTGGGGAGGGAGCCAGGGTAAGCACAAACAATTTCCTAATACATCAGGCCGTGACACAATGGGAACATTGTGATCTGAATTGGTTTAGGAGAGGAAACTCTCCATGAGGCATTTACTTATTTCTGTGTTAGTGAAGAGCCCAGAGCGAAGGCATTATCACCATGCTGCGTGTGAAGAGGAAATTCTTTGCTCTTAAAAAAAGCACACTCATTTATTTGGGGTGGTTTTGCCTGTGCTCAGAGGTCTGGGGAAGAAATGACTTGTATCATTATCATCAGCCCTCATCAAAGCTAATCACAGGAAGGTGTGAGGTGTCACAAAACACCCCTTGGTAAGAAACAACCTCTGCAAGATGAAGACTGAGGAAGTTCTTTGGAGACACAGCAGCCCTGTGATCCCAGCAGGAACTTGCAGGGACACCAACTGCTCCACTCTCTCATCTGTGTGATCTCAGGCAAGTCCTGGGTGCTCCCAGGAGGAAAACAGAGATCATGGGATCGTCCTCCTTTAGCAGGGACCTGTCAGACACTCTGGGGCTGGGGACCCAGAGAAGAGAGAGCTCCAACTGTGCAGCCTGGGAGGACAGGGATGATTGGAGTGTGGAGGAGAAACCACTCACTCAGGAGGATTTTGCTTTCTCTTGACATGGTGAAATGAAGTTTCTTGGCTTTGAACTGGATGCAGAAAGCTTTTGGTTTGCTCCTGGGGTGGAAGCTTCTCCCTGGGCATCCGTTCCCATCCCAGGCACGCTGCCCATCCTTGGCTTTGCAGATCCCACCAGGTCCTTACACACACAGCTCAGAAATCACTCTGCCCTTTACCTCTGGACCTCCTGGCAGCATTGCAGCCAGGGAGACACAAGAGTGGAGTTTACTCCTGGTTTAACAGCAACCTGGCTAAACCTCCAGTCAGTCCTTTTTGACAACTCAGTGTTTGCAGCACTGACTGATCTCTCCTGTTCTTCTCCATCTCCATCACTCACGGACAAGGATTTCTCTGGATATTGGCACACCTTCCTCTCTTTCCTTTTTTTCTTATTTGTAGCTGTCCTCACTGCTGCCTTTCCCACTTCCCAGGACTCTCAGGATTTCCAGAGCATCTTTTAAACCGTTCTTCCCTTGCAGCTTTAGGACCTGCACTCATTTCAGGTGCTACAAAGCTGTTTGTAGGAACATTGAGGGCAAAGACCAGGACCCTGCCAGCACCAGGACCCCGTGAAGAGAAGCAGGCAGGGGATCAGGCAGGACAAGGAGTGCAGAAACCCCAGACCAAGAGCAATGCTCAATTTGTGCTAACAACCCCCTTTCCTCCACGGATCCCTCTGCCCTGGGACACACAGGAGAGCTGGCAGAGCCATTCACGGGCTGTGCCTTTCCAAGTGTTAAAAGCATTTTTGGATTGGAGCCCCACACACCTTTTATGAGCTGCTAAGAGAGATGGCTCCGGGTCTGGAACCCAAACCAAGCTCCCTTTTCCAAAATCTGGGGCTGTGCTCTTTGGTAATTCCCTTTTTCATCAGCCACAGTCGGGCTGTGCCATAAATCCCAGCCCTGCCAACACCAGGCACTGAGCAGCCCAGCCAGAGCTGCTCAGAGTGCTGGGGCTGAGGAGTCTCTGGGACCCCCGGGGGAAAACACGACAGCAATTACTGTAATTAATGAACCTGGGCATTCCCACACAGCAGGGGAGGGCTCAGCTCTGTGCTCAGGTCCAGAGCAGCGCTTCAGTGCCACCAACACTGCCCTGCTTTAAAGCTGCACTTTTGGACAGCAGAGAGACCCACAAACCTCACACCAACACGGGCTGTGCTGCTTGTGGCACGGAAAAGCAAAGGACAGAGGGAGGAACGGCAGCTGGTACCTCGGAGACGTTGATCCTCCCCTCCTGGAAGGAGCAGGTGGTGGGGTCGTGGGTGCACAGGTTGCGGTACTTGCACCAGTGGCAGCGGAAGGCACTGTTCACACAGGACAGGCACCTGCAGGGAAAGGAGGGGTTAGCACAGGGCTCAGCGCCTTGCCAGGGCTGCAGCCATCTGCAGGCCTTGCCAGAAATCCAGCCTTCCTGGGAAAAGAATTTCTTTGGCTGGGGGGTGGTTTTGATAGAGCAAGAAGGAAGAAAGGGGTTTGGGAGAACACACACGCTCAAAAGACAGACTCGGGGCAGCCTCGCAGCTTATTCCAGAGTAAAATGCAAGCTGGGATTTACTGCACGTCGTTGGATTGGTGTAAAGTAGAGCAGGGCGTTGCACAGGCACCAGGCTTGGGCTTTAGCTTCTAGAAAAGAAGGCAAGCCTGGCAAAAATGGGATCAGCTGTTCTGCAAGTCAGGAGTGCTTCAAGTCAACAGCAACACTTCTGCCTGGCCTTGGAGTGCAGAGGGTGCAGCAAGTGCTTTTGATTCATGTTGGGGGAGAAAAAAAATAACCGTTTATGAAATGTTTTTGAAAGAACACAGACCCTTTTCAGCCCCAGGGGACCCAGCTGCCAGCAGAGTGGCTGGGTGGGTTTTGTTCCCCTCTCGCTGCTGCCACAGAGACGCAGGAGCTGTGACAGCTGCTGATCCTGGCAGTTGCCACCTCCTCCATCTCCGAGGCCACCCCTGCTGCCACGTGGCAGCTCTTGGTGGCACAGGGATCAGCTGTGCCCGTGGATCCAGTCCCATGCCATGCCCCTGGCTCCTTGGGCTGCCTGGAGAGGGAAGTGCCCGGGACGGGCTGGAGCAAAGCCAGGGCAGGCAGACAAATGTCACCAGGGGAGGGACAGCGTGGCCCCTGGGTCAGGGGGCTCTGGAAGAGGAGCAGGGCAGCTCTGCAGGCAGGGCTGTCCCAGCTGGGCACAGGGAGCAGGGCAGCGGGAGCTGCTGCCAGCAGAACAGCTCCAGTGACTGCATTGTGCTCTCCTTCTGAGCATTCCTGCTGACCTCAACAGCCAGGGGAGCTGACTCTAATCACCACAGGCAAATCTGGGGGAGTGCTGAGAGCTTGTTCAATTGCTCATTCGTCTGACCCATTTCTGTCCCTCTTTGGGTCTGTAGCACCTCACCTCACCTGGCCTGGCCTCCAGCATTCCCAGCAGGGGCTGGTGGAGCTCCCAGTTTCCCCTCTGAGGGAAGAGGATCTCCCTGGTCACCCAGGCCAGTGGTTTGGCTTGGTTTGGTCTGGTTTGGTTTGGTCTGGTTTGGTCTGGTCTGGTTTGGTCTGGTTTGGCACATCTCCCTGTTCCCTGGTTTCTGTGGTTTTCTGCTGCTATTTCCAGCTCTCCCAGGCCTGGCAGAAAGATGAGGGATCCCAGAGCTCCCAGACTTACACCAGCTCACCACCTTGGCTCTTTCACCCCAGTCTAGCTTTCTCAAGGCCCACTGTCTCCTTTGCTTCTTTCTCCACCTCATCAGGTCCTCACTAAAACATGCTGGGCAGGGAAGGTTCCCTGTCCCACCTGCAGCGGACGGGCTGGAGCAAATCCAGGGCAGGCAGACAAATGTCACCAGGGGAGGGACAGCCCCTGGGGCAGGGGGCTCTGGAAGAGGAGCAGGGCAGCTCTGCAGGCAGGGCTGTCCCAGCTGGGCACAGGGAGCAGGGCAGCGGGAGCTGCTGCCAGCAGAACAGCTCCAGTGACTGCATTGTGCTCTCCTTCTGAGCATTCCTGCTGACCTCAACAGCCAGGGGAGCTGACTCTAATCACCACAGGCAAATCTGGGGGAGTGCTGAGAGCTTGTTCAATTGCTCATTCGTCTGACCCATTTCTGTCCCTCTTTGGGTCTGTAGCACCTCACCTCACCTGGCCTGGCCTCCAGCATTCCCAGCAGGGGCTGGTGGAGCTCCCAGTTTCCCCTCTGAGGGAAGAGGATCTCCCTGGTCACCCAGGCCAGTGGTTTGGCTTGGTTTGGTCTGGTTTGGTTTGGTCTGGTTTGGTCTGGTCTGGTTTGGTCTGGTTTGGCACATCTCCCTGTTCCCTGGTTTCTGTGGTTTTCTGCTGCTATTTCCAGCTCTCCCAGGCCTGGCAGAAGGATGAGGGATCCCAGAGCTCCCAGACTTACACCAGCTCACCACCTTGGCTCTTTCACCCCAGTCTAGCTTTCTCAAGGCCCACTGTCTCCTTTGCTTCTTTCTCCACCTCATCAGGTCCTCACTAAAACACGCTGGGCAGGGAAGGTTCCCTGTCCCACCTGCAGCTCCCTGGGGACACAGAATCCACGCCCTGAGCTCTGAACCACCCCAGCCCATCGGGTCACAAGGACCTTCCTGCCTGTCCCCAAACCCCTCTGTCACCTGCCAGGGGTGTGTGTGTCAGATGCCAAAGGGCTGGGCTGCTCCCCAGCACTGCAGCAGACCTGAAGGATTCCCTGTCATCCCAGTACCTCTGCCCTGTGCTGTGGCTCACAACAAAATTTAAATCAAAAATGAATGCCTGCCTAGAAAAACCAGAGGCCAGCCAAGCTCGTGAGCACACAAACATACAAACCCACTTCCCAGTGCAGCAGGAAAGGCCCTGGAGCTTCAAACCCAGCACAGCAAGACTGGGAGTGACCTTGTGCTGGCCCTCGGTGGCTCCAGCAGTTGCCCCTGCCCCGGGAGATCTCCCAGCCCTGCCACCCCCATCCAGCTGCTGGCAGGTCCTGCCCACAGTGCTGCAGCTTGCTTTTGTTTCCTGAGAGAAATCCATAAATGCTTCAGGTCTGTGAATGTGTTTTCAAGGCCAGCCAGCTGCCTGCTGCCTCCCAGTGCCCGGGGGGGTGTGTGTGATTCCACCATCCTCAGCAAAACTGAGCCTCCACTGGGCCTCCCACATGCCTGGGCTGCAGCCCACCTTCCCCTCCTGCACCCCAGCTCCTGCAGCTTGCATCCCAGCTCCCTCTGCCCACCTTCCCCTCCTGCATCCCACCTTTCCCTGCCCACATCCCACCTCCTCCATCCCACATCCCACCTCCCCAGCCCCTCTGTTCTGCCTTCCCCAGCAACTTAACTTCCCTTCCCTTCCCTTCCCTATCCCATCCCATCCCCATCCCATCCCATCCCCATGCCATCCCATCCCATCCCCATTCCCATCCCTCCCGGCTCCAGCCGAGCTCTCAGTTGCGGGATCGCACAGCTTGGGGGCACCAGCAGGTTGAGGTTGTTCCCGGCTCTCTCCAGCTGCCTCCTCCGAGGCTCCCGGAGCCCCCCGGAGCCCCCCGAGCCGCGGGCAGCTGGCTGTCCCTGTGCGTGCCGTGACCCGGGCACCGTGCCAGCCCCCCAGTGCCCACTCCCCAAATCCTTTGGGCTGGTTTTTGTCTCTGCTCGGGGTGGGGAGGGGGCACTCACAGCTGGTGGGCGCTGCAGTTGTAGAACTTGAACTCGGTGCTGACGAAGGTCCTGCCCGTCTCCCGGGACTTCAGCTGGAGCACGACACCGAACCAGTCTGGGGACAGAGCAGAGCCTGTCGCTGCTGCTGGGGGCCAGGGAGCAGCAGCACAGCCGGGGGGGGGGGTCTGCTGCCCCCTGCCCACTGCTGAGCCCCTCCCTGCTGCTGGGGCAGCTCGGGTTTTCACCTCCCAGCACCAGGACCCCCCCACACCCTGCGGGGTGCCCGTGTCCACCAGGACTCCCCCCCACACCCTGCCCTGGAGCCCCCCAGGTCCCCAGGACCACCAGGACCCCCCAGGTGTGTCCAGCAGTGGCTCCAAAGGCCAGCCCTGGTGGCAAAGTGCATCAGAGACAAGGGGTAAAGGTGCCTTGGAATGGGTTTGGAACCTTCCCTGTTCCCTGATTCACCCTGCAGTGTAAAAAGTGAGACTGTTCTGAGAGACAGCCCAGGAGCAGAACTGTGGAATCACAGAGGGGTTTGGGTTGGAAGGGATCCTCAAAGAGCCAGTGCCACCCCCTGCCATGGGCTGGGACACCTTCCACCATGCCAGGCTCCCCCAAAGCCCATCCAACCCATCCCTGAACACTTCCAGGGACCGGGCTCCTCAGCTGCTCTGGGCATCATCTCCCAGAGTTATCTGCTAGAGCAGGAGCCACTGCTGGAAGCAAGTGAAGCAGCAGTGGAGCTCTTGAGGAGCCTGAGCTCTGGGTTAATTTCGAGCAGATTTTCTTTTGGGGCTGCTGGGGAAGCCTATCCTGGCCCTGCTCCCACGGGGCTCTGGGCCCTGCAGTGTTCTCCAAGGCTCAGGCTCCAGAAAATGCCTCAGAACCACAAAGACATCACCAGGGAGGCACTGTGGACACATGGAAGGATGCCAAGGGGAAAATGAGCTCCGAGCCAGTGGTGCTTCAGTTACAGGAAGAGCAAATATGACAGTGGTGACATTAATGAGGAGCCAGCCCAAAGATCAGCACTGAAGCAGAGGAACTGCAGCCACCTACTCGTGGGTGCTGAGCCAGGCCCAGGGGAGATTCCTGCTCCCCAGATTCAGCCAGCCTGGCAGGGCTGAGAGCTGCTGGCCAGCCGTGAGCCACCCTGGAGGGGACAGACGGCTCCTGTCCTGCCCTGGGAGCTGTCTGGCAGCACAGGGAGGGAGTGAGGACAGGGCAAGCACTCCCTGCTGCCTGCTGCCAGCCCGTCCTGCCCTGCGTGGGATGCATTTCCTGGGAATGAAGCTCCCTGGCTTCAACAGGCTTTGACAGCAGCATGAATTTCTCTGGCAGCAGCCCCCAGAGGCTCAGCTGATACTCCCAAAGCTGCCCTGCTCTGTCTGCCACCGTGTCACTGCCCAGAAGCCACCACTTACCCTGATCCACGGGGATGGCGGGGACATCTTTGGCTGGCGGTGACACACAAACCACCTGGCTGCCCGACACCTGGCCCTGCACCTCGCTGAGGTTCCCGAAGAGGCAGCTGACCCCGGCACTCAGGTCTGGGGCGTCGCTCACCCGCAGGCTGAGCTGCGGTGCCAGGGAGCAAATCAGAGCTGTGAGCAGGCAGAGCAGCCCAAACCTCCCTCAAATTCCCAGCCCTGCCCGTTTTCCCCTTCAGAACAAGCCCCTGGAATCGCCCACAGCTGGTGGCCAGCTGCCCTGGCATGGGAAAGGGAGGCAAGGATGTTCTTTGTGGATATAAACCCACAGGCTGCTGCAGGTCAGGAGTGGTGGCAATGGCAGATTTTTGTCCCCTCGTTGCTCTACAGAAGCTTTGCCACTCTCAGTGCCAGGAGCCTGAGACTGTCCCCAAAGCCCTGAGCTCAGACCACCTCTGTCCCCACTGCACGGACAGGGGAGACCACCCTGCCCTGGCCTCGGGGGAGAGACCCCCCCGTGTCCCCAGCACGGCTGGGGAGGGTCCCCATGGCAAACCAGTGCCTGCAGGGCTCAGTCCCCTGTCCCCTCACCATTTTTACAGGGGGGCTGGGGCAGCCCAGGAAGGGGGGGCAGCAGGAGCAGCTGTCACAGGGCATGGGGGGCTCTGGCAGCAACAGCTGGGAAGAGCCAGGCCTGAGCACAGCTCACAGAGGAGCTGTTTGGGAAACAAAGCCTTGCCTTTACCAGCTCCAGAGACCAGGGAAATGTGAGCTGAGGCACCAGGGGAAGGGGGATTTGTCTCTGCCATCCCCCTCCACGCTCTCCCCGGCTCGGGTGACCCCTTGGCTCCCCTCTCCCTCTGCGAGCGTGACTTCATGAGAAAACATTTGTGCCAGAGGGAAGGGGGAAAGGCCGGAGCGTGGAGTGCTCCCTGCTGGAGGTGGCTGTCCTGCCGGCCCCCTGTCCCCTGTCCCTGCTCACCGGGAGGCTGTGCTCGGACACGGAGATGCTGCTGGGCTGCACGGCCACGCTCAGGCACTGCGCGATGCTCCCTGCGAAGCGGAACGGCTCCTCTGCGCGCTCGCAGCGGTCCCTCGGGGAGCACCTGCCACACAGGAGCGCTCAGAGCACCGAAATCGCCGCCCAGAGGGAGGAAAGCATCCCCCAGAGCAGCAAAAACACCCCCCAGTGCACTGAAAACACCCCCAGAGCGAGGAAAGCATCCCCCAGAGCAGCAAAAACACCCTTCAGGGCACTGAAAACATCCCCCAGAGGGAGGAAAGCATCCCCCAGAGCAGCAAAAACACCCCTCAGTGCACCGAGAACACCCCCAGAGCACCCAAAACACCCCCCAGAGTGCAGAAAACACCCCCAGAGCACAGAAAACACCTCCCCCAGTGCACTGAAAACATCCCCCAGAGTGAGGAAAGCATCCCCCAGAGCAGCAAAAACACCCCTCAGTGCACTGACAACGTCCCCCAGAGCACTGAAAACACCCCCAGAGCACAGAACACCCCCCAAACCCCCAGGGAGATGTTCCACAGCAGGACCTGGTGATGCCCTGCACGGGGAGCAGGTGATGGGCACCAGGTTAGGACCAAAGGGCGCTGCAAAATATTCAGTGATCAGCAAAACCACAAAGGCTGATATCCCAGGAGTAATTCCTGCAGTGGGACACGATCCAGAGCTGCCAATCCCAAGTGCTGGGGGTGTGGGGTGAGCCATGGACTCATCTGCACATGAGCTAAGCCAGAAAGCTGTAACAGGCAGGGACAGGATGATGCCTCTGTCCTAATTAAATCCACACAGCCCACTAATCATCTCCTGCTGGAGCTGGGGGTGAGGCCCAGCCAGGAATGGGAGCTTCCAGCTGCTGCCAGCAGTGCTTGGCTGCTGCTCCTGCCTGCAGCTCCCAGCTCCTGCCCATTCCCATTCCCAGCAGCAGGAATCAAGCCTCTGAGCATGCCAAGGTGCCTGGGAGTGCTGCGAGCATTCCACGTGCTCCAGCACGGCTCCTCATCCCTGCTTTTAGCTGCAGGTGTCCTCAGAGAAGAGAGAAATCCCAGCAGGGCACCCACTGGGCACCAAGGGAGGACTGTCAGTGTTCCAGACCAGACTGCCTCCAGGATTTCCTGGATTTTGTCATTTCCAAGGGGAAAATCCTTTCTTTCCAACCCCCCTCCATGGGTGCAGATGGCAAATTCGCCTTTAAGGTGCCTTTGAACCCAAGCATTGAGGGATTCTGTGGAGCAGTGGGAGGTTGCTTTAGATGAAGGCAAGTGAAGTTTCCACTTTCCCTTTCCAAACCACCCCCCTGATCCCCAACAAACGCTGGGGCTGCTCTCCTCACCCTCTCCCTTTTGTACCTTTTCCTTTGGAGCATAAAGGAGCTAAATATGAATGGTGCCAAAGGAAGAAATATCGAGGTTTAAGTGAATCTCTAAGATAGCCCTAAAGTGAGCTCTTGACTGGAGCCTTTATCTCATTGACTCGCTGGAATGGCTCTTTTTTATCATCCTATTTATGGCAACAGCCCCAACAGAGATAAATAGGCCTGGAGACAATAACACACTTGCAGAGAGCAGCACGGGGAAGTCTTGCAGGCTTCACATCCCACTGGGCTGGAGAGATCCTGTAACAATCTCCTGGAGGCCTCTGATGGCTCCCAGAGAGCAAAGGATCCCTGTCCATGCAGAGGATGAAAAATCACCTTCTCCTGCACCCCTCAGCCTTTCAGCCATCCCCAAACACAGCGGGAGCATCACCCCCTGCCCCAGCACCTTCCATGGAGCAGCTGGAAGCAGGAGTGGGTGAGAATGAAAGGGGAGAGGTGACAAATGAAATGCAAACACTCCAGCACTTGGGGCCTCCAAACAAAGATGACAGAGGCTTTGAGGAACAGCAAGATAAACTCAATTATTTACAGCTTAAAAAAATAAAGCTAAAAGATGATCACTGCTCCAAAGTGCAGATGCTTGAAGGGAGAGTTAAGAAATCCCATCGGGGGAAGAGCCCTTGTTGGGAATAGGCTGATGCTGAAATGTCATGACCAAAAGGGCAGAGGAAATGACACTTTTCTCTCCTCTTGTCATCGAGGGTTTTGTCTCTGCAAAATGAAGATAACAACCTTTACCTGCCTCCCAGGTGGCTTGTGAAGATTCAGCTCATTAGCATGAGGGGAGTGCTCGCTGATCCTTGCAGAGGAGCTGCTGCAGGAGCAGCACCAGAGCCCAGCACAGCTCCTGCTGCAGCAGCCCCTGCCCACCCTGCTGCCCAGCCCGGGGGGCACACGGGGCTGGAGCCCAAGGGTGGGAATAATTCCCTTCTGACAGAGGAGCTGGGACAGTGACACCTTTGGGACACGGCTGCACAAAGGGTGGCTCAGCTGTGGGGCTGGACAGGCTGGCTTGGAAAATAAAAAAGCCAAAAAACCCCAAAGGATGCCCAGAGTGCTGCTGCCGTGGGGTGCTCAGAGCTCTGCAGCCCCTCCCTGAGAGGATCCTGTGGGATGCTCAGGGGCTGAGCTGCTTCTCCTGCCCCTCCCGAGCGTGGCCGTGACCCAAACCCGCGGTGGGAGCCGCTGTGCCCCCCGAGCCCCGGATCCAGGCCGGGTTTGTGGAGGAGCCTGCAGCTCCCCGCTCCCCCCAGCACCTGCTCCTCAGGCAAGGGGCCAAGCGCTGCTCTGCGGGTCCCCGAGCCCTGCCTCCCCCGTGCCCGTGCACTCAGGGCTGCTCAGCAGCTGGCACGGGGCCGGGGGGATTTCTATTCCCTGCTCCCGGCTCTCCCCTCCTCCCCGAGCTCCTCTGCCCCTTCCTAAGGCTCCCTTCCGCCTTAGGAAGTGCTGGTTTTTATGGCAGGCCAGAGAAAGGAAGGGCACGGACACCTCCTGAATGCAGAGAGGCTTTCCTGGAGCTCCCCTGGAGAAAAGCACCCTCAGCCCTTTGTGGCAGCTCCCAGCCCTGCTGCCGGGTCCCCCCGGGGCGGCCGGAGCTGGGACCCCCTGAGCTCCCCTGCAGGATTGAAATCTCCCTTTTGGGGCTTTTAAAGGGGCTCTGTGCTCTGCTCTGCTGCTGAAATCTGGCTGGGAGCATAGCCCCACTCACAGGATCACGTCTGTTTTTTCCTTTGAAAATTCCACATTATTGGGATTTGCAGCCTGGGCAAAGAGCAGGAGGGTGCAAAACAGCAGGAGGGGCGTGCAAACCAGCAAGCCTCCATTCCCACCAGTTCAAACTCTGCTTTTCCATCATTTTTCCATCTGGTTTTCCATCCACATCACCCTGCCCCTGAAGCAGGACTTGATTTCCCTTCACCTCACCCAGGAGCTCAGGGATCTCCAAACAGCACCCGAGCTGCAATGCAGGGAATGTCCAAAGGAGAGAAAAATGGACTTGAGGAACTTCAGCCTGATTTGTTTTGTGTGGGAGGCTCTGGGGAGCTGCTTTTATCACCAGGGAACGGCCAAGGCTGGACTTACATGTGGTGCAGGGAGCACCAGCCGCAGTGGGGGTCCCCCGAGCTCAGGCACTCCTGGCAGGTCGTGTACTGCTCACAGGACTCCACGGGCACCCGGGACACCTGCAGGGAACACACACACTCAGGGCTGCTCTGCCCAGCACGGCCAGAGCAGCCCCAGGTCCTGCTGAGCCCCTCAGAGCCACGGGCCACAGCAGCAGAGCCTGAAATGAATTCGTTCCGACATCCAAGAATAGGAATTGTTGGAGACCGAGACGTGAGGTCAGCCTGTCCCCTGGGTGAGTCCTGGGCATGCAGAGCCCCAGCTGGGCTCCCACGGTGGTGCCAGCTCCTCCTGGGCTGGAGCTGAGCCCTCTCCTCCCTGATTTACACTTTGCTGCCTCACCCTTCCCTGGGGAGCTGCAGCAGGGGATAAATCACTGGGGTTGTGGCACTTGCTGGGTCTGGGTGGGTGCTTCACTGCTTGGGCCACTCTGAGCCCTTCAAGCAGCAGCCACTGGGCCCCCAGGTCACCGGAGGACCCTGTCCCTTCCAGGCAGGGGTGCCACAGAGGGGAGCACAATGGGAACAGCCCCAAAGGCTGCTGTAAGCCCCTCTCCCACTCCCAGCACACGAGGAATGATGGTGATGGTGAGGTGCAGCACAGCCCTGACCTATTTACCAGCACTGAAACCCCCCAGAGGCTTCAAAACGACACCAGGCTTTAAGCACAGGTCACTGCTTGGCTCCAGCAAAGACATTTGTAACCTTTTTAACCACTTTAACCTTTCCAACACATCCTTTGCCACCTCCGGCATTTTTAACCACTTTAACCTTTCCAACCCATTCCTTGCCACCTCCAGCAGCAGGGTGGGTTTGCATCTCCAGCTCCCGCAGCGTTCCCTCTACAAAATGTGGAAGAAATTCCTTCCTGTGAAGTTGGGAGGCACTGGAACAGGTTGCTCAAGAGACTGTGGACTCCCAGTTCCTGGAGGCGTTCAAATCCAGGCTGGACAGACCTTGGCACAACCTGGGATAGCGGGAGGTGCCCAGATGCTTTTTAAACTCCCTTCCAGCCCAGGCCATTCCGTGATTCTGTGACTCTACTCCCATTTCTCCCACCAGATAATCCCCTCCCAGCTTCTCTCGGGCCCCCGGAGCGATGCCTGCAAGTGGCTGGGAATTCAAACAACTGTTGGATGGCTCTGGCTGCGTCCGTCACAACAGCACCCGGCTCCCAGCAGCCGCTCTGAAAGGAGCAGTGTCTCCCCACACAACGGCCACTGTCACGCCAAGTGCTGTTGACACAGTGAGAACCCAGTTCCTCTCTGAGTTCGACACCAATAGGGCTGCTATTCTTCTTGTTTCCTCGGCCCCACTCAACAGCTTTTCCCGGAGCAGAGATCGCCCAGGGTTGGAGTTTTCTGGCCGAGGTGGAGCCCTCCGAGGGGAGGGTGGAGGGCTCGGTTTGGGAGCCTGGAAATGAGGGGTGGGAGGGGCAGAGCTGGGGTGGAAAGAGCTTCAGGAACGGAGAGGAGAAATTCAGAGGTGGAGATGAAGGGCTGGGGGGTGACTGCTGGCTGCAGAGGGGCCTGGGGTGCCCTCACAGGTCTGCACTGGTGTGGCCACAGGTGATGTGCTTTTTGCTGCTTTGCCTCTCCCTTCCAAGGAGCAAAAAGCACTTTACAGACAGGGTGGGAGCAAGCCCGGGGGCCTGGTGACAGGAACAGCCCATCCATGGCCCCTCCAGGATTTATTCCTGCACGACACTGCCCACCCCCAGGGAGCACCCAGCATCTCCCAGTGCAGAGCAGTGCTGCAGCCCTCGTGCTGCCCCTGGCTGGAGAACCAGCAGCAAACCCAGCTTTTCCAAACCAAAAAGCTCCCTGTGGGAGACACCAGCCAGCACAGGATGCACCCAGGGAGCTCCCTGGGCTCCCCCTAAAATCAGCCCAGCACGCTGAGCCCTGCCCCAGCCCCAAAATCCCCCAGCAGTGCAGATCCCCCGCTCGTAGCCACAAAGGGAGGCTTGGCAGGATCTGTCCCCGTGATTTAAATGCAGCTCAGGCCTTGTTTCATGTTTGTGAGGAGCTGGATGCTCTCGCTGCGCTCTATAAATAACGGAGGGTTGGAATTATGTGAATAAGAGTTCATTAGAGATGATTTGATGTTGAGCGCTTCGTTTCTTTTTCTGCTCAGAAGCTGTGGCTTCTGCACATGATAATTCTTTAAAAACCACACAGAGGTTTTGAACAATGTCTCTGGAGGAGCATCTGTGTGAAGGACAGCAGCCAAGAATGCTGCAGGGGGATCTCCTCGCTCCTGAGGGCACAGCCCTGCTCCCCCCAGCCCAAGTGTGACCTCCCTTCCTTCTCTCCCTGCCAAAATGGACCTGCTGCTCAACCATTAGATGATAAAGCCTCATTATTACTGTCCCTGACTGCCTGACCCATAATACCAGCAAAATAAAATAAATTAAAAAAAAAAAATCAATACAGACTCTCCAAAACACACAAATTCCAACTCTGCCAGCCCCAGGAGCAAAGAAGTGCAAGAAGCCAGTTCCAAATAAATAAATAAAAGTAAATAAAAAAAAATAGAATAAAATGAACAGCCAAAGCAAAGTTTCCACAGCTTTTGCGTGCTACCAGCCCAGTCCTGTGACCTCCCCTGGCTGGAGACAGCCCCTGGAGCATCTCACAGCCACAGCAGGCTGCCCACAGACCCCTCGGGGGGCTGGAGTTCAAACAGAAAATCTATTTTTAATGACTTTGGGGAGTGGAGTAGAGATGCCAACTAGTTCAGTGTAATTAAAGCCATCTATCACTCACTGAGCAGGAGCCCAAAGTTGATGAACTTTCCAATGAGACTTGATTCTTTCCTTTATTCGTGAGAAAACTCTGCTTTGTGCTGGGGCAGGAGACGTGAAAAAGTGTGGGAAGGAGCAAGGAGGACGCCTCAGCTGCAGCCATTAATGTGTCAGGGTGACAGGGAAAATAAAGTCAGGCTTTCCCAGAGGCTGTAAAAAGTCTGGCAGACTCTTCCCACTGCTCCAAGCTGAGCTCCAGGTGGAATATCCTGCTGGGCACTTTTGCCAAAAAAAAAAAAAAATCCCAGTGTGCAGGGGTGGGAATGCTGTGGCTCGGCTGAGCAAGGCACGTGGGTGCAGTCTGCCTCGGGCTGTGGAAATCCCTCCCTGGAAACTGCTGCTCCTGCCTCATGGAGACCTCAGACACAGTCCTGGAAGGACCAGGAGTGATGGGATGTGGGAATCGCATCCGTGGGGCAGAGCCAGGACACACACAGGAGAGGGGAAAGGGGAGTTTTAAGCACAAATAACTGAGGAGCATCCCCAGGGTGCCGTGGAGCTCCCCGAGGTGGGAATGGCTCCAGCATCCATCCCTGTGCCACAGGAAGGCGCAGAGCAGGTGAGGGCAGCGCTCTGCCAGGTGCAGGGGCTCCTGCAGGAGCAGCTCTGCTGTCCCACAGCCCAGCACAGGAGGGAGGGCTCTCAGAGCACCCCCAGGGCTGTCAGAACCAAATCAACGCCTGGAAGTTCTGGCAGAGAAGCAGCGAGTGGGAGAGGACGGGGAGACAACGTTGCCATGGCTACGAGGGGATTATTTAATTACAGCACTGCAGATGCACGGAGAGAGCCCCTTCAACTCTGATCCAGGCAACCTTTGCAGTGGGCTTGGCTTTGCTGCTATAAGAACCTCATTAACATCAGAGGAGGACAAGCTGTGCTGGAGCACGGGGACTGGATCACTCTCGGAGCGAGGGATCAGATCTTCTGCAAACATTCCCATCCCCTTGGCTCCCCCAGACCCTCTGTGTGCCGTGCCAGGCTCCTCAGGGAGGTGATGAAAGCAAGGACAGCCTCCTCTGGGAAGCAAGGAAGACTGAAAAAAACAGCAAATATCCCGAAGTGAGGCTTGCTGGAGCAGGAAAATTGTCCTCAAGCCAGCGTTTCCTCCATGCATCCATCCGGCCCAGCATCCCGGCAGGGCTCGGAGCAGCCTCATGTTCTGGCACACGGGCTCCTGCAGACAAACACTTCCCTGTGGTTTACCACGGCTCGAGTTAATCATCACATCAATATGGAACATCTGACGGGGTTTGTTGCAATAACAAAGTGCCAGGCAGAGATCCCAGCCCGCTCCCAGGAGCAGCACGGACTTGTCCAGGAGGGGAAATGGGTTTTCATCTCCAGCACGTGACCATGCGTGGGATGCTCGGTCTGCTGGCTCTGGCAGCTCCTCCTCTGCCCCCAGCAGGTGACAGTGACACTCTGGGGCTGCAGGGTGGGCCCGTGCAGGGTGGGCACGGGGGCAGGTGCCCCTGCCTGGCACAGGCACCGGGTGTCCCATCCCTCACCCTGCCTGGGCTCCCAGCTGTGGGTGGAGGCTCAGCCCAGCATTTGGGATGCCACTCTGGCATTCACCCCCTGCTCAGACTGGCACAGCAGTGCCAGCTCCGTGTGACAGCCACAAAGTGCCTTGGCAGCCCCAGCTCTGCCTCCTGCCTCGCACGGACCATCTGCATCTGGGGGTTGTGGGGCCAGGCAGGCACGGCCACCTCCGCCTCCCCGTGCCCGCTGCCTGCAGAGCTGGGCAGACCTCGTGCCCACACAGAGTCAGGAGGAAATTCTGTCATCTTCAGCGCTGAAATGAAATCTGGGGCGCAGACCTGGCTGAGGTATTCACAGGAGCTTCTGGAATGGCAAATGCAGCGAAATTCGTGGATTAAATAATGAGGTGCAGCCACACATTCGCCCCTGCCTGGCTCCTCTGAGCTGCTCCTGCCCCCGGGTGCTGGTGACAGCTTGGTGTCCCCACGCAGGGATGGCAGCTGGGGGGGACAGGACCCTCAGCAGATCCTTCTCTTTTGGGACCCTAAACCACTGAGCTTCTTGCAGAAGTGACCCACAGAACCTCTCCCTGACGAGAACAGGGGGTGACGAAGGTGCCAGTAACGAGGAAGGGGATGCTAAAGGTCTCTCCCACAAGGACAGGGCTCTGCTGCGATGGATCCACGTCCCTGGATCCCTGGAAAGCCACCACACCTCAGGGGAGTGCCAAGCTCATTCTTGACTGCACCAAAAGGGTCCAACGAGCTCCTGG